TTTTGTAATATTAATAAATTGGGCATGGATGATGTAGTAGTAAGATAGTAATAAAATTGATTACAATATTGCACTAAAATACATCGAAAATTGCATTTTAAAGAATCTAAAATTGCACTAAAAAAAATAATGTTTCGTTATAATTCATAAAATTACGTTTATTTTATCTTCCAATAACTTACTGCAATTTATATATTATAAATAACAGACTCATTAGCATGGCGCAAATAGAGTGGTACTTGGGGATGTTACAGCAAAAATTAATAATTGAAAAATTATATAAAAATAATGTTTTTCTTAATTTATGTAGTTATTTTTACTGACGCTTTTATCAAAAAGATGAATAATTCATGACTATTAGCATTGATTATATACTAGTAATATATAATCAATGCTATTAATTAATTACATCGTCATAAATACTTGAAAAATATTCCATTAATCATCACAAGATAATACTAGAGTGAATATTGTATGTTGTATATTCTGTAATATTTTTTTAATTTGTGTATTTCTTAGTACTGCATGGCCTAAATAAAATAATTTATTATTTGTGTAACATTTTAATGCTTGTTAATATTTATGAATTAAAATATTAGTATGTGTTGTTATGATATATTTAATGATTAAATTGAGATATGGTACTTGGAGGGTGTGTGTGAGGGTTAGTGTGAGCTGCGTAATTTCAGCACCTCCAATATTTGGGTTTTAGTTGCGCCTATGCTCATTAGTTACAATTTATAAACATGCATGTATAATGTATAAATAAATATATACTTAAAAATGTTGTTGCATTGAACTGAAACTAATTTTTTAAATTTTCAAAATCCAATGTTCTTCGGTTTGGAGGAGCCAGTAAGTTTTTATACTTTGAAAAACATCGTTCTACGTTGGTTGATGTGAGCGACGCATACTTAAAATAAACTAAATCGCTTAACGTCAAATCTTCGAGTGAACCATCCAACAGTTTTCTTTCTCCAGTCAGTAGTATAAAATAATAAGTCATAAGTATAATAATACTTATGGTTTTAAATAAGGTATTTATTTTTTTTATTTTTTTCATAATTTTTAATGAACTTTTCATTGTTTTTTGTGTTTAATATATAATCTTATCTGTATGCATTGTAATCCAATAATCGCAATATGACGAAAACGATATGATTTTAAAAATAATCAATTTGTCAATCGTTTTGACCATACATACAATAATATCAATAGACAATTATATATATAAACAATGTACATCAATTTAACATATTCTTCAGCCTTAAAAAATTTGACAGTTTTATTTCATGACATATTTATAAAACCGTTTGAAAATTATTAAAAAAGTGAAATTTAAAAAATAGTAAAAATATTTTTTATTAATGAGTAAAATCAACAAAATTCATTCCATTTCTAAGATGTTGTTGTTGTCATACAAAAAGGTTCGCACACATGAATTGATTCCACAACGCGTCGTTGACGAGCGCGTGGAGGCTTGAAGGCACCATAGATTCACGATAGATGATTGATATATGGAGACACCGACGAATGTAGTTTACCTCACCAACACGCTTAAATCAACTCCACGGGCCGTACACATTTGATAAGAAAGCTGATAAACCAAAAATTAAATAAAAAAAAAACTTAAAAAAAATATATAGTTACTATTATATATATATATATATATATATACATACATATACGAAAACATAATGTATAAGTTTATTATAACGACACATTGGAGTATTAATGGCTGGCCGATTGTCAACATTTTTCAAGTTAGAGGTGTCGTTGCACACCCTGCCCTACCCCAAATGATGCCCCTGTGTACGACTCGGCTGGTCTTCACAGCGCCTACCGCTGCGTTTGTTCGAAAATCCACGAGCTGCGAAATCGCCGGTGCAACGGTGTGACCAGTGTTTTCAAATTTTTCGTGCTGCGGGTTCAACATTTTTCTAAATAATAAGTATTACCAATCGTTCCGTAATATTATAAGTAGGCTTAGGGATTTATAGTTCTAAAAAATACACAAATATGCTTATAAAATCATTATAATATGCATTTAAACTCCGAAACAAAATTTTGTAATAGGCTACTCGTACACTGCTGTACTTTCGGCATTTCACAACGTTATGAAACATACGCGTACGACGTTTTACGTATGATTCGACGTTGTGTGGGGTTAAGAAACAACGACGGATAATAATCGACTGAACTGACCACTAAACGAATAATCTATTATTCTACTATCGACCATTACCTTTATCGACATCCGGTCGATATCCAGCGGGTTATACGATCGATAAGGGTTATTATTTATTAAGGGGTATTGTTTATACTTACACGAAAATTATAACGAGATATGAGAGGTAGTTTGCAGATAGCATATTACTGGAAGTATTAAGTCCTCTAAATTTTTTTTTTCGATCGGTTGAAATATGTATCTATAGTTTTTAATTTGAAATTTGAAAAATTTGTCAAAATATGCAAAATAAGCATAAACATTTTAAAATATGCACTCTCCAGCAAAATCTATCAAATATGCAAAAATATGCACTTTCAAATTTTTGATCTGATATCATGGCACCGGGAAACGAATTTATTTCGCACTCTGCTATATTTAAAAATCAGTGGCGTATTTACGAGGGGAGGTCCAGGAGTACTGGACCCCTGAACCTCTCCGAAAAATAAAAAATAAATTAAAATTCTTACACATTTGCAGAATTGGCTATGTTAAACATTCACAGGGAAGTTGAAATTACTGTTGATGAAGCGATAGAGGAGTTGGCCAAAAAATCGAGACAACTGGAATTTATTTTATAACAATATCTACTTTATAATATATAATGCTAAATACAATATATAGGTATATATATATATAATATTACATAAGACTATATGATTATTATATTATATATTTAGTTTAACTTCCTCCAAAAACTGCATAAGGACGTAACTATTACAATATAATATATAGTTTATATTAATTACGTATAAACTGTGGATCCCTCCCCAGAAAAAATTTAAAACACGCCACTGTTAACAATAATTAAAAAAAGTGTGCAAATGCTAGAAGTCCCTAAGCCTAATTATGAGAAATACGTGTAAGCATTGATTTTATAATATATTATTACACATAGATTATTATAAAATCAATGGCATGAGGTATGAATTAATAATTACGTTGTTATGCAAATATTTTCAAACGAGCAATGCAACCAGCAAGATTAATGTTCTCGTTTTCTGTACCTTCGTAGCATGTAAATAATGACTTTTGAACCAATTTTTTTTCTTTTAATGAGGGGGAGGTCGTGATCCAGGGAGCGCTCCCTTCCGGAGCGGATCCAGCCTACCATAACGGGAGGGGCGGATTATAAATAAGTATACTCTATGCAGTGGCGTACATTCAATTTTGCTCGGGGGGGAGGGGGTTAAACAAAAATAATCGTTATCTTTTTTTTTTTTCGTTGCACAGATAAATAAGATAAATAACCGCTATTAATAGATATTATTTTATACAACTTTTTTACCAATTTACAGTTTACTTTTACATTACAGTAAATCAATAGCTATTGGAATACAAAAACAGCATAGTTAACAAAACTTTTCATACGCCTACATCAATATAATTATTTAATTATCATAATATTTGTACAGTTGTATATTTTAAGCGTAATAATGAAACTACGAATATATTACACGTCATCAATAAAAAAACAATTTTTTTTTGGCCCTGGGGAGGGTTTGAACCCGGAAACCCCTCTCCGTATGAACGCCACTGACTCTATGAGTCGGCTGAGGCTGACGGTTGTCGTCGATCATACGGTTACAAAATAATATTGTTCATATCAACTATTCATTAATTTATGTTATAAAAATAAAAGACGAAAATGTATGATAATAACAATACATTAGAATGTTATTATTACGCACGATAATGCAATTTAATAGTACATCAAAATTAAATTAACACATTTTGATACGGCCATCGCGCGGAGGGGGGGTTGCCCCTACCTTGCCTGGCTTCCTTCCAAAATACGCCACTAGGTGTGTCCGTCAGCGTTTTTATCCGGCAGTCAGACCTTTGTGAACTCGTGAAAAACGTAGCGCATTACTTGACGTCCGCTGGACGGACAGCAACATTGAATCCCATAAATACATACGTGCATATGTATTCGGGGTCCTTGTTGAGCGACCCGTTATTATGATTCAGTAATAACCTCTAGTAGATGAAAAAAATAATTTTTTTTGGAAGCTTTAATTTTATCACCAACACCAATCCTCATCGTGATACGCGAAATCGATCAGGAAAAGTATTCAGTCCCAACATATATGCAATGAAATAATGCAATTTCTACTGTTTAAAAATTGTGTTCACAATTGTCCTCCAATCCACTTTTTGTATTGACACCTTAAAATTAATGCAGCAGAAGAATTGTTCAAAATCTTCTAAATATACGTTTTCGTCCTCATCCATCAAACCATTCAAATCCCCAAATATCTGCTCTTGGTTTTGAAACTATTCTTAGTAAGGTTCGTTTTTTAAACGATTTAAAAAAAGATTTAAAATAAAGCGATTTAGGGACTTCAACACCACTCGAAACATGATTCGTAAAAGAAGGAGAGGTGATCACAAAAGATTGTAGTGACACCTTAGAGTAGATTATATTTATTATATGAATTCAATTTTAAACTTATAAATTATCTTATTACTCTATTATGCTCATATAATTATGAAATGTATTGAATAATATATAATAAAAAAAATAAAAAATTATTTTAAGCTAATATACTTCTTATTTCAATCAAATTCTAAAATAAAGTAATCATCTGCTAATACATCCACGAAAAAGTGCACAAAAATTGATTGTACAAACAACGGTTTATTCTTTAGACAATGATTGATTGATTGATTTAATTAATTAATTAATAAACTAAATTTAATTAGATTATTTATATATTTATTTAATTAGATTAACTAATTAAATTAATCAATACAAAAAAAAAAAAAAATGTTCGTTATATATTTTTGTATTAAATTAATCATTATAAAATAAAAAATAATGTGACAACTAAGCCTTAATCTTAATGCTCTTTGAAAGGTTAACTTTAATACCAGATATTTCTCCATCATAACGACGCATTTCTTTACGTGGCTCCCGTATCTAAAAATAAAATACACCAAAAAAATAATTTATTTAATTAAACATATATAAATTTAAAATAAAATCTAAATTTTGGAAATAATCAAACAAACCTGTCCCTTCCTACGGATTTTTGCTTTACGGTATTTCATTCGATTTTTAACTCTAGGATTTCGAAGTTCTTTCTTACGCCGAGGTGTTAGTCCTTTGTTTTTGGCTATTTGATACGTGATTCCACGTTTTTCATCATTTGTCTCCATAACTTCATCTTTAAAATAAATTTATTATATTAATTGAAGACTTATTTAATATTACAAAATTTGGTATACCTGTAACTTTTGATTCATCTTCATCATCATCTTCACTACTATGAAGTTCATTTAGTTTCTTGTCATTTACACTTTCTGCTATATTTTTGTTAGAGTTGACTTGTTTTACTTGCTGCTGAATTGGTTTATTGATAAGGTTGAGTAATTTCTTCGATTTATTTTTCTTTGCATTAAAGCTAGATACAAAAAATAATTTAATATAAAAAATATTATATAACATGAAATGTACATTAATATAATTACTTACTTAGATAAATCGAAAGTTGACAATACTTTATTGATTTGAGGTAAAATTGTTGTTTTAAAACATTCATCTTGTTCACATAACATTTGACGGTATCGAAGTAAGGTATTCATCAGTGGATGAATTTTAACTAATTTGCGTACAGCTTTCAGAAGAAAATAAAATACAATGTTGGTACAGTAGCTATGAAATAAAAATAATTACTTTGTATGCATTTAAAGTAGAATTATTTAATTAGAAAATTTTAATTACTTCATAACAATTTCATAGTAACATTGTACATATTCTGTAAAGTTACACCTGGGTAAATTTTGAAGTTTGCTAAATTTTAAAAAAGGATATAATTTATCTTGTACAATTTTCATATGAGCTGAAATACAATGCAAAAAGTTAATAAATATACTATAAAAAATAAAGTACAATAAATAATATATTACTTTTAAAATCTGTAATCAATCCAAATAGTTCAGGAGATTCCTTCATTAATAATTTTTGTTTTTCACGATTACTCATGGAACTTAAATCTTTTTTGATAGTCATCAATTGTGTTAAGTCAGTAGTGTCAACTCCTTTCACATTTTCTGTTTCTTTAGTTCCCTAAATATTTAAACCATATCGGTAAATAAATATTGAATAAATAAGATTTAACAAAAAATATTCAAAAACTTATTACAATAAAGAGTTCATTATCAAGGTTAACATTTTCTAATTCTGACATCATTCTTTGATGGATTCTACGAGCTTCTTCTTCTTCCATTTTAGCAGTTTCTTCATCTTCTTCCCCCTCAAAACCTAAAAGTTTTATAATTAATATATACGTATAAAATGTTTAATATTTTAAGTTATTATATATTTTACCCCCATGATCCTTGTCCAAATAATCTGTATTATAAAATGAATTTCGTAATTGACCCCAAGCTTTATCATTTGGTAAATCATCTGAACCGCTCTCGGCGCCTTCTATATCACTATCACTAAAATGATTTCCTTCATTGACATTAGAATGCTGTTCAACATTTTCTTTATAATCATCATCACTTTCTTCTTCATCATCTTCTTCTTCTTCTTCTTCTTCTTCACTGTCTTCATATTGATCTAATTTATTACGCAGTGGAAATACTTCTTCCTACACAAATTAAACAGTAATATTTTATTAAGAAATTCTATAAAAAATTAAATATTTATTTCAAAATGTGTGGATTTATAAATTAAAGCATTAACACTCTCATTAACATATTTTCTAAATTCATAAACAAAATAAATATTTTTTTTTATAAATATTTACAAAATCATAAATGAAATTAATTACTTCGCTCTCCTCATCAGAATCATAAGGTCCAGATGCCAGTTCTTTTCGTGTTTTCTCTAGAAGAAGTTTTTCGTTTTCATCATAATCACTTCCTGAATCTTCACCATCAAAATCAACAGATGCATCATCATCATCATCATCTGCCGGCTTACGACCCCTAAAAATAAATAGTTTATAACAAAAGAATCCACTGAATTTGCTATATATTAAATACATATGATAATTGTCTTTTTAATAACCCATGCAAAATAATTTATGATTTAATGAAAAATAAAATTTTAGAAAATAACAACAGGTAATTTTTTTAATATCTTTCATTACAAAAATAATAAATATATAATATAGGTAGGTGTCATAATATGATATTACTTAACAGCATAATATGCTGTTAAGTATATAATACACGAAAACCTACAAGGCATTTAAAAAATAAAAATTATAATCCAAAAAAATTGTATTTACATAGTATTCAACCATGTCTGGTATCTTAATACTAAAATATTTAAAAAACAAATTCATATTTCATAGATCATAAAAATTAGAAAAATGAGCTGTAAACAATTTATCATTAGTGTTATAATATTGATTTGCAGAACTATAAGGTATTATTATAAACAATTATTATTTCTTAAAAAATGTTTATTTTAAATACCTAGGTACACAGTTAAATATTCAGATTATACAAATCACAAGACTATTATTGCCATGAATTTTATTAGCAAATCAAATATTGTTCTTTAAAGAATTAAGATACCCAAATAAAATAACCAAATTACAACAATCAGTACTCGGAGTTGTTTCATTAAGTAAAGTAACCAATAGGGTTTGACCAGTAGTGTATCGGTAAACATATTTATAAGTATAGGCATTAATAAAATATGGATAATGAAATCCTAAAAAAAACGTTTTCGCTTTGCTTGACAATATTTTTCTTGCTAAGCTCGAACAAATTAAATTAATCCCTTACTGTTTATGACTTCTAAGAAGACTATAAAACAACACAGGATATACATTTGCTGCGTTTAATAAATCGCATGAACATTTAAGAACCACGGGATGAATGTCGCTACTCCATATTGTATTTAATTATGTACATCTAATTTTCAAAATATTATACAACTAAATTGAACTTGAAATGCATTTAAACACAGCATACGCTGTAATCTTCAACAGATGAACAATACATTCAAACTTCATGGTTCATAACAATTTTTTCCAATAACTATTAATTAAATAAGTTTTATTTGGTTTACCAGTTATTTTGGTAGCGTATACCCGTAAAATCGAAAGTCCGCTGACACGGGTGCACGTACCAACACACCCCTGGGTATGACGTACACACGGTAAAACAGTTTAAATCAAAAACGTGAAGGTGATATAATGTTAAAATGTTACTACGAAAGTACGTACCAAGGTTTTTTATTCATTTTCGGTCCAAACAACAATTCCAAAACGACGAGCTTGACGAACGTTTGAATGACGATTTTGAACGTTCTCGAGGTTTAGGTTAAACAATCACGAGCGTCCAGAGACAGCGCCTCTTATCTGCACTATTATTATCAGTATTACACTATCACTACAGTTGCCTTATCACATAATCGGTTGATTACCTACATTTAAATATTATATTTAAACAAATTATTTAATAATTATATCAATTGTAATGTATTAACTATCTAGTATAACTAATTTATATAGTACAAACTACAATGTCATCAAGTGAAGAATTAGAAATGTTATATATGTCTTTTCTTGTTGTAATATATTTTTTTTTTCAATATTATAATCGGTTTCATTTCGTTACTGATCAATTATTACATTTGGCGGGATTCCACATTCAATTTTACCTATATTTATAATAATAAGTACATATTATATAGGTATAATTTCAAAATATAATTTAGTACTTCAGTTTCTTAAGTACCTAATTGAATATAATACTTACAAAATTCACTTTACAGTACATTTTAATTAAATATAGATATCTTACACAGTTTAGTTTTGTAGTCTTGTGAAAAGTACTTTTATTTTGTATTCAAGTACTATTAGATTATTAGAATATAATATTTTTTGCCCCGCTAATATTTGTCAGTTTTGGATTGGGTGGTAATAAGTATATGAGAGAATACGTATAGACCTTATTTTACCTGAGTTACACTGTATGATTAAGTGTTTTGCCAAATTTTCAAAATGACTATGTCTTGTGCTTTTTAATTTATGTAACGAGCTTATCCCATAAGTTTAGAATATAATAAATATGCTACATTTTTAATTCCTTAATTATTATACGTAATAGATGAAATAAACACAAACAATTTTGAGTGGAACGAAAATAACATCTCAATCGGATTATAAAAAAAGCACGGACAATTAAAAAATGTAGCATTGAACAAGTTCTTACGGAAATCTTTATCAATCTGATTTTAATACTATCATTACGTTTAATTCAAACACACTTCTCTGTACATGCTACACACTGATTTCAGCTTTATGTCTTGCAGAGTTTTTGAAATAACGTATAAAAAACCTAGTTACAGTAAGTAAATTTTATTTTTTTTTTCGAAAAAAATTAACTAAAATAAATATTTTTTTTTTAATATTTTAGATACTCCAATAGTTAATGGCTTATTCAATTTTCCTAATACAGTTTAAACATGGTTAATTGAATCTTATATTATTGTGACAGCTATATAAAATATAACACTCATGTAAACTCACATATTAATGCACGTATTATTTGGTATAAACCAACCATGTGCAATAATAATTGATATTGAGCTATATCATAATATTCGATTGTTTAGTGTTGTAAATAACACTTAAAGAAAACTATCGCGATAAGGAAAAAATGTATTGGGAAAACTTTCTATCTATATTTATTTTCTGCTTGTAAAACTTCTCTCAAATAATGTCAAAATGTCTAATCGAATAAGACAACGTAGTTGGATTATCAAAAAAATTCATGATTGCACACGAAAACCTTGAATCAACTAAGTAATTTTAAGATCATATTAATGCCACTAAAAATTAAATTATACTTTTGACTATATGTAAACTAACTTTATAAATTTATTTCTTACATAAAATAGATTATGAAAAATGTTTTATAATGTATAGTTATTTATTTATTATATTTTGTTAGTAAATTAGTAAATCAATAAGTTACTTAGGTTAATTGATAATTGAATAATTGAATTGTAATAAATAATAAATCAATAGATACATTTTATTAGTGTAAAGAAAAAAATAAATACTGGCCACAAAATTCCGTTGTTACTGTAATTCAAAAAGTATTATTAGTTATAATAAAACAATATTCTTCACACTTGTCGAAAAATATTTGATTCCGAAGTAACGTTCCTTTCATTTATAACATTTAAAAATTAATTTAATTTATAAGCTATACTCAAACCAATCCTTAACTGAAAATATCAGGTAATATTATACTTACGAGTAGATAGTTATAGTAGTTTTATGTTTTTTTACATACGAATTATAAAAACACTTGTTATCAAAAAAAGTGTAAATAATATTGGTAAATTGTCATAAACATCAATTTGTATCTGGAAAAATTAACCAACACCATTATAATATAATAATTTTAGTTAATTTATGATATAATTACACATACACTACCGATCTTTAAACCTAATGACAAATATATTTTTGAAAACATTTTTGGTTTTTCGATGACTTATTTAGTCAATTATTTGCGAAAACCGTATTTTAAATGTCAAACAATATGTTATTATATAGCATTAATAAAAATTAAAACATTGAACACTTTAATTTTAAACAATGATCGAAAAAAGTACCTATAATTTATATATTACATGATATATTTGTCAAAAATTAAAAATCTATTTATAAACGTAGACCTTTTTTTAATTATACTTAGTTAAACAGAAATACCGATTCTGGAACACTCCATCTCTACATACTCCACAACTCCTCCTCCTCATCCAAGTTCCTGTCGCCACTATCACATTTGGCGCCACCGTCGCTGCCAAATCGTCATTATCACCGTCCCCCGTACTACGACCATAGGCGCAACTAGGGGACAAAATTTGGGGGGTGGCTATAGTCCCCTACCAAAACTTAAAATAACCTGTAGATTACCCCTACTCTTATATACCATGGTAATATATTTTAGATTCTGAGCAAAGTTGGATTTATTGCAATGTGTATTTTTTTGTTCGTGCACTATTGTGAGTTAAGTATGCCATGTATAACATGGAATATTTATGGGGTCTAAGCCCTCCACCTAGTTGCGCTTATGATTACGACCCGCACCACCAACGTCCGCTACCGATCTTTATCAGTTTTTATAATAGATGATATATCTTGTGATAATACTTAATGTGATTATAAGTGATTTTGCCCACTGATATTTTTTATTTGACAATGATCACGTATTTGAAAAAAATAATGAATGAGCTACTAGTGGAAGATAAGTTGTATAGTATGCGGAGATGGAATATTTCAGAATGGACATTTCTATTCTACTTTTTATTGAAAAAATATTTTAAATTCATATCAAAATAATAAGTAAATAAAATATTAAAATAATGATAGTTAGGTTTTGGAGTCATGAAAAACTTTCAAGGGATAAATGAAAAAAAAAGATGGTTGTAAAAGACTTTTGATATCAAAAAATGCATTTATTATACTAAGACTATAGCAAAAAAATAACAATATTAAAAATACCATGTTAAAAGTTACATTATTAAAACAAAATTTAAAAATAAAATTAATTTTAATTAAATTTCCTTAAAGATAATGGAAGAAATTACTTGTGGTAAAACTTTCGTCTGCATAAACAACACAATTTCTATCACTGAAAAATTGAATGACTTACCTTCTACGGTCCAATCAAGAGGATTGCCTGCAATGGCCCCAATCCATCGTATACCAAGAGACAGAAAACGATTTACTTATTTATCGTATTATCCAAAGGAAAATAAACCTACAAATAATTTTCCTTTAGGTAATGAAAAACCTGAACGTAGATTTTCTTCAAACATTCAAATATTACCAAGTAAGATATAAATATATATATAAATTCAAATGTAATTGCTGGTATTCAATTATAATGAAATAATTACAATTTTATTACTTAATATAATGAGTATAAAATTTTTTATAACTCAAATCAAGTTATAATATTAGTCAAACAAAGTTATTGAAATTGGAAATCATTATATGTATCTTTTGTCATGAATAAATAAAATTATTTTTCCATTCATCAATATTTTAAAAATAGAAACAATAGTTTTTGAAAATTTTTATTTAATTGTAATTAATGTTTAAATATTATTGTCTTAGCATAAATTAATTTTTAATCACAACACGATATATTAATTAATAAAACAAATATGAAAAACAAGATTTTTATTGGATTATTTTTATTTTATAGCTGTCGCCCAAAAATTTAAGTTTCCTGAAACTTCGCAGAGACTGAGGGAAATGTCATTTTTCATAAAGCCATCTCGTTTAAACGTATGTTATAACTTATTTATTTATTTATTTATTTATTTGGATAAACGCCTGGTAGGCTCAAGTATAAGTACACAATTATAACATTATTTATGATTAAAAAAAAAATAGAAATAAATTTCTAATATCTTAAATATTAATTTGTTTTTTTTTCAGTTTTATCAAGATAATTATGATGATATTCTACAAAGTAGTCAAAAGGCGTGTCCCAATGCGACACGGTTCCATGGTTAGACCAAAAAAAGAAGAAATGTTAAGTGGTAATGTTAATGTTAAATGATAAGTCCATTCAAACATTTATAATTAATACATGTTATTAATGTATTTTTAAAATATATGTATTTCAGAATCAGCGCACTGTTATACGTATGTTTATCATACTTGGCCATAGCCCAAAGGATATTGTTCGAAGTTTAACTTAAAGAAATGTATAGTGCCTTCCAAAAGGCTTCGTTTAAACCTGGTCAACCAATCAAAATGATTATATATGTTGTATTTATTTTTTTTAAGTGTTTATGTGTTTTTGATTTTTTTTTTTTTGTTAATTTTTTTATTTTTTTACAAATAAAGTGTTTAAAGTCAAATTTTGTAATTTATTGTTATTACATTATAAACGTGTTAATTGCACTCCATTAAAGCATTGGGTTTTTTTATTTACAGTAAATTTTATTTCCATTGAGTTTCAGTGTTCAATTTGTCTACATCATACAAATATTAGGGAACCCTTGTGATCGGAACTCCTTCCCCTATCAGTGTTGAGCACAAATAACTTAAAATTTATCTAGATAAAGATAAAATATAGCAAAAATGTATTAAAGATATTTATACAATATAATACACAATAAATGTCTAGATAAAAAAAATATGAAAGTTTAAATATTGTTATAAACTATATTTAATGAAAATGTTTATTATTTTCTTTATAGTATATATTTTTATATTATACTGTATACCTATTTGTGATAAATTTAAATTTGAACTGTTATTTGACTGCGTACCAAAATGTCATGTTAAAAATTAAAAAATTTGAATTTTCTAAATGTTTAGTTTTTATAAGGTATGCTAAACGCTTACATCGTTATACATTATGTTTAAATAAAATTTAAATAAATAGTTTTATGTGTATTTTATTTAGTGTTTTTCATTTTGTACGGAATCACAAATTTATACCTGATAACAATTTATTTATTTGATAAAATTTGTATGTTTCTCAAATGGAAAGTGTATTTTAATATACAACCTGTATTGAGTGGGTGGTTAGACGGCATAAATATATTTGGCTCCTTGAATTAAAATTGTTCACCACGTCACTGGACAGGGAATAGTTATATACCGAATGCGTTACGGTACGGTACGTATGGCTTGTATATTGTACATGTAACTACTTGAACGGTGTAAAAATTTACCCGATACGTATCGATACACTCCAATTTTTCTTTGAATATTTTACTGGTTTATGCAGCACCCTGTATATATACACAGCGCTGCATAAACCAGTACTATATAAAGTATTACCTCATTTATAGCTGACAAAATAAATTCATTGCCAACAGCATATGGTATTCGAGTGTTCCTCATTTGGCAATAAGTAAAGAAATGTACGATTTCAACGTTGTTGAAAACATGAATACCAATGTCGGCTGTTTTAAAAATGTCTTTTCAAGTGCTTGTAAATAAAACAAAACTTTATTTTTTTTATTACCTACCATGAACTCGTATTAAATGTTCTTGCAATCTTCAAAATTTCATAGCTTCAATTGCAAAAACTTTTTGCTAAATAAGGCGCATCGGTAATTTAATATTTGTAAGCGATAAAATTTTTTTTTCTCATGTCAGGTACACTTTTTTTATAATTTTTTTTTTATAACTAACAGAGTATATAAATCAAAACTGCAAATATAAATATAAAGAGACAAACAAGTAGATAAAATAAATAAACAGATTAGAATAATTCAAAATCATATAAATGGTAACTAATTGTCGTTCTCTGGTTCATATGGTCTCAGCCCAAAAACTAGCTACGTCTTTGATGTTGTCATTTGCATTCATAACATCATCTTGTATGCATGAGTAAGGACAATTGGGCATGGCAGAATATGTTTCATTGTCTGTTCCATCCCACATTTACAAGTTGTAGATGTTCCTTCGAGTAGTCTCAATTTCATCATGTTATCCTTAGTGCGTCCAATGAACGTCCTGTTCTCATTCGGTTTGACGTTCACCAGATGGGCCATTCTAGCTGATTCCCTGGTGGTAACACTTCGATGGAAACCCATATTTTTTCTCTGGTTTGATTTGTCCATTGTATAACTCTTTCCTGTTCCTTAATTGTTAAGCATTGCGCCTTTTTTTTTTTTTTTAGGAAACTGTTTTTTAGCGATAGAATAAAAGTAAAAACCCGTACTTCAAACATTCAATATTATACTGCCTACATTTTTCGATCAGCATCCGCATTCCACTTGTAAAATAATTACTTTATTTAGAATTCAGATAGTATAAATTGTAACCTAACCTAAGTCCAAAATATTAATTATTATAAATGCTATCGCGATAACGATCGGATTCGACAGACAACGAACGATAATTCTAAAAATACAAAATACACAGAAACTTAAAACTAAATATATTGGCGGAAAACATAATAGTGAATGGAAGAAACACTAAATATTGATTTTATCTCCCCGACGAATACTGGTTTTTACTTATTAGATGTTAATTTCTTTTTTCGCCGTTTAACGGGTGTAGAAGGCGCAGTGCATTTAGTTAATAGGTCTATGGAAATATGAATGATTCAGAAAATGTATCCACAATTATAAAACTAAATAATCAACAGATAAATACAGGTAATAACTTGATAAACTGGTTAAAGGGATATTTAGATCCATGTAAGGGTACAGAATAACCAAGCATTTTGTCACATCCCGACACTTGGGGTATGGGCACAGTAAATATCATAGGCAACACTCGATGACAGTTTTTCCGTGAAACGTTTTTAAACCGTATGAAATATATATCGTGAACACTGATACTAGAACATAGAGTAACTAATGAGCTAACATAACTAAAGACATGAATGTTGTGATAATTGCTGTCATAACATAAAAGTATTGAGGAAAGACGTAAATGTTTTATAGCGTTTCGATAGAAAAATCGGAACTGTTCGCACGATGTACCTACCTTTATAGTTTACACGGTTTCAACCTAGTATCCCAAACATTTATATTGAAATGTTCTTTTTTTAATTAATTTATAAATAGTTACAAAAATGAACGTTGAAGAGAAAAGAGGAAGAAGAAGACCAAAAAAAGATATGGTTGGATACGATTGAAGACAGAGGCGGATCTAGAAATGAAAAAATGGGGATTTAGTAAAGTGAGTTACTTCCATAATTCGTTGCGCATATTGATTTGAACGAAGTCTTTCTTGCGTCTGATATGGTTCTATCTAATGTCTAAGGGAGGGGGCTTCAGCCCCCATAGTCCCTCTTGTATCCACGCCTGATTGAGAATGATATGAGGGCTGTTGGTGTATGCGCAAGGGATGCAGACTTAGGACTAGGGTGGCTGACCCCAAATAGTTGGGAGAAAGACAAAGAAAAAGAAGAATACATTTAAAATTAAATGTATTAAAAATTATTTCAAAACATAAAAAGATTGCCGTTGCTGTTGTAACTAGCAACCATTTTAATGTGAGTAAAAATAAACGGAAGACAAGAAATGTACGGGAACGTAATTGGATATAAATTTTTTTTTTCAAGAGAACTTAATTGAATTCTATAGGCAAGAATTATTTTCGTATTCGTCTGTCAATTTGTGAGTGTCTGCAATAGTCCTCTAGTATTTGATGTTGACTTGATGTAATTTAGAAGTTTTTTACAAAAATTAAGAATATTTAAACAAGTATTATGTAATAACTGTCATCTGTTTTAAATGTTTTAAACGGTTCGCATTTGTGTATTGAACTTTCGAACCGGTTCAGATGTGCGCCAGAATTGTCATGAATATTGTGTCACGGAAATGAGATAAGTGTACAATTGAAATGTAAGCAATCTTCCATACTTTGACAGTACACTGTCATATAGTTATTTCGTTATTCGTCGTCGTCGTGCGATTATAGCTCAAGGTCGCATGATCGACTGGATGATTTTTTTATATGGTATAACAGAATGACAAAGTTATACTCGTATGGATTATAACTAGCAGTTATAGGACCTGGGCGATCTGGGTGGAGGAATAATTAAGAAATGCAAAAAGTTACCTCTTTGATGATGAAAAAACTATAAACTATGAACTAAATTTACAAATGAAGTATAAAAGTACATTCATAGAACAATTATAAAATTTAATTAAACAAATATTTACATGCAAATGCATTTAAGATTCAAAATACAAAAATAGTAAGGATGAGAAAATTATTTTTACGCATTTGCATCTTTTATACCGTTCGTTTTTCTTCTGTTTGAATTATAATCCGAGTTAATCCATTTTAAATCACTACGGACACCACGACTTATTACAAACTGTGATGATGGCCCATTGATATAAATAATTTGTTCTTGATCCCGATGTTGACTGTCTTTAATTTTTCTTTTACACGAGTCAGAATCAGGATATACCCATTTTAAGTGACCTCGACTTCCGTCACTTTTTTTAAAATTTTGAACCCAATATTGATGATAATTCATCGGAGGCCCTGAAATATATAACCAATATATATTTATATACATTTACATTGGATGATTTTATTTCGAATGCATACTATGTTATTCATACTCATAACGGAACAACATTAAATTGTGTACAAATATTTAGAACGGTCACCTGCTCTTCGAATGCGCTCATTTTGCATTTCGAAAAAAAGTAAGGGATGGAAAATATAAACTTTGAAGTGTAAAAATGAAGAGTTGGTTTTCTTCAGAAACTTTGTTTTGTAAAAAATTTACATAAACTAGTAAGCTACCTGGTCTTTTATTGTTTGGCTCACCGTATTTTCTGTTGTATGGCTTTTCTTTACTAATTTTTGGGTGATTCATTTTTTGACGGTTCGCATTGTACTCGGGACTAACCCATTTGTAAATATTTTTACTTCGACCATCACTACCTCTTTCAAAATATAGTTGACACTGATCAAGTTTTTTTACCAACGGGGGGCAGTCTGTAAAAGGAGTAATGTTCGATTCCATTCTTTCATTAGCATCTAAATAAATTTGTTTATTAAAAACATAATTATTTTTACTTTTATAGTATAGTATAGTATACTTGTAAAGTATAGTTTATTGTACAATAACTTATTAAATTTTCGTGCAACAATGAAGTTTTGTCTTCCTATATAACACTTATGCATGCTTTGGATGACTAAGTTCTTCGTATATTGTAACATACAATTAAAATACAATAGATTATTTACAGATATGTGAAAGATTTTTAAAGAAAAGTTTTAAACGAAACTTCAAACGGTAGTAAACATTGGAGTAAGTATAACAAACCTGTGGAAAACAGACCGTATTTAATGGATTCGATATAGGTAATAATGATGCTGTGTATCAAATACTCATGAATCGAACTGAATGTTATTTAGAACGGTTAATGGATTTATAAACAAATGATTTTACTAGAAGCTAATAAAAAAAAAATATATAAATAAAAAAATAAACAAATGATTATCTGAACACTAGCTAGCCGTTTGTTTGATCCGTAGTCATGGACAATTATAAATTGTAATATTAATGTAAGCCAGATGTATAAATAATAATATAAAATCATATTTGTTTTGGATATGTTAAAATTAATTATTTGCATTTTCATACTTTGAATAAAAAAATATATAGTTTATTTTATAGTGTGTTCTTAAAAAAGAAAAACAAATAGTAGGGGTACTCTTGCAACCGTTTTTTTCTATTTATAAACTTCGTAGAAAATATTCTACACTTGAATGTAAGTACTTGTAAAGTAAGTTTTAATGCATTGATTGAGCTTTACAACACCATCCAATAACATTTTTATTTGATAATAGTCTTTAAAAAAAGTTTTAATTGAACAATACTAACATATGTCTTAAACGACTAGATACTTTTTAATACCACCCAGAGGCGGCTTTATCATGCATTTTATGGTTCACTGAACTACCAAAAAGTTTGGGGTGGGTGTCATCTTAATAGGTGGTTCTTGGTCTTGGCAACTGGCAGCGGTAGTTAATATCAAATTGGTAATTTAATAGAAATTAAATAAATTTTTGTACCCAATATGATTTTTTGGTAGGTGGGTGGGTGGTATTAACTATGATTGAACCACCAACTGAAAAATCTCAAACCGCCTATGCTAATATGCCGTATGATCTTTAACAACTCTATTTCATGATTCATAAACAGTTGTAACAAACGACAAACGGTTGTTCATATCAATTGCGTAGCTACCATAAGGGCAAAGCGGGACAGTGACCTGGGACCCCAAGCCACAGGGGGGGCATTTTGAACATTTCTGAAACTATACTTTCCTAAAATAATTAACAATGTTGCTGGTATTTAATAATAACTTTCTAAATCGTATGTGGTGATTCCACTAACAATCAGTATTGAAGTAAAATAATAATACACGCAATATTTGTTTGTTTTTTATAATAGGTAACCTACCTAATAAACTGAATTATTTTTCTTTGTGCATCTGTTAATTATCTGACGATTAATTTTATTTGTCATTTCGTAATAAATTAGTAATCACATTAAAAAAAAAACACAAACAATATAATAGTATACCTTGAATTTTCATGTAAAGATAATATCAGTTAGGAAGCCTATTTTACATACGGGGCCCTTTTCTGCGTAGCTACGCCACTGGTTCATACCAACAGCCTTCAAAAATCATTAAAGTTATACCAAAACTTGTATTTTGTTTTTTTTTTTCTTTGATCAACCACGATGATGAACAACGAAAATTTGATCGAACCTGTTAGAGAACATGAAAAAAAATTCTCGTACACAAGTATACCTACTTAACTACACAAGTTTTGTTTGTCACTGAACGAACGTGAAATTCGTAATCAAACCTAGTCATATTTTAGTGCACAAAATGGAATATCGGACGACACGGATTTCTGTGAATTAGATGCCATCGAACAGTACTATCACTGACCGGACGGTATGGATACGGACCGGACATGTGTGAATTGACCTTAATGCAGGAAGATGGTAAACTGCGGCAACATTAACCTTTTTCTAAAAGTCGATATGTAAATTACGGCAAAAAAAAAATTTAGATTATATTATATTAATACAGTACAAATTTAAATTGGGCGTTGATATGTTCGACGTCCGTTGTACGTGCGTCGAAAAGATAATACGTCGATAACATTTTGACATCTGTGTTAACGTGCATTATATAAATCGTTAATATTAAAAAAATATGATTAAAAAAAAAAAAAAAACTCCCTCGGTAGTATGGGCCGGTCAAAAATATTGCCCCCTCCCCTATCAAAAACTGAAATGACGCCACTGGTATGCCATATCGAAGAACAAAAAAATCATAACGCATTACCTTCAATGCTTACTTACACCTGGCGAGAATGTTCTTAACTTCATTGCGCGCAAAGGTCACCGCGGAAAGTGAAGTGACCCAGACCCGAAAAAAATTTTTCATAATATCATGTATAATTCCTCAATATATTGTTACCGGACTGCGGCTTTGAAAAATGATTCAACATCAATAGCGTAATCGCACACGTATGTACAGAAAAGAAATATGACGTGAGATTAGAGAAATCTGTCTATACCGAAATATATAATATGCTCCAATTTCGTCAGCGACGAGCTCAGCCTATCGCTGTTAACAATGATATGTCTGCAGTAATTATAATATAAATATTTTAATAATAAATTGATATTATTGTACAGTTTATGTTTTTATATATACATAGTTATATACGTATATCGAATAGTCATAAATACGGTGTTATCCTTTTAAAGTAAAATACAGGAAATGTTTAATAAATTAGAAGTATGTTTATTATTATTAATTGATGAACTCAATTTGATGTATGTATTCATTCTTCGTATTGTTATACGTAGATCAAAATGAGTTTAAAAATGGGTCATCACATCACACATGCTCTCATTGAATTTGTTATACATCAATTGAATTCGTTTTGATTTAACGAAATATTTAACGGAATAGTGTACATTTTGGAAAAAGTTTAATGTTGAAATCTATTTGCGCTCTAGAAAATAAATATATATATATTATTAATAAATTATAAAAAATTATTAAAAATCTTATTTATTAATCTACAATTAATGTTTGACTATTGACGAGTTCATAATTAATAATTTTTTGATAATTTGGAGTTAAAATATTTTATTAGGAACAGAAAATCATAAATCTTGTATTGATTGGAAAAGGTGAAAATATCACTTTTGATTATTTGACGAAACATTCCGCTGTTTCGGACCTACGTTTTTCGGTAAGTTGCTAACTCTGTTGCTTTAGATACAAGTCTAACTTCGTTAATAACAACCCTGCAGTAATTTTCATTTATTTCTTTCTCTTTTATTTGGTTTGTGCCCCACACAGCCACAATTCAGAGCCATAGATAATGAATCGCAGTATCGATACCATCCGTGATATACACTTGAAGTTATCGACGGGTTTAATAGGTCCACTCTGAAAAGCAAAATGTCTATAGCTTCTAATGCCTTTCCTTATGTTGTTAAAGCCTCTTTCAAGTGAACTAAAATATGCCGTTGAACTGGTGAACAAGCAATTAATTTTCACTTTTTGTATGAAATATGTGATTACGTCTCCAGGACAACACATTTCTTCTGATATCTTTCAATAACCTATGGACGGACAAAATATAAATTATGTTTTTATCAAATTTAACTTTTCAAACCTTTCAATCAGGTATAACATATACGAAGTATAGCATATATATATATAGCTTTGATATGTATCGAATGATAAATAATTTATAAATATAATTATATTTACTATAAATAATTTATACATCTATGAAACACGAAACACAATAAAAATCAAATATACTCGTATACGAAGATATTATAATATCTATATATTCTGGTAATAATATTATTATTAAAATAGGTTTGATGTATCTCAGTACAAAAGTGCAAGGACATTCTAAACATAATTACTTTTCTTTCAATGACGGGTATTCAGCGTTTACTTTATTCACCAGATCGTCTGTCCAATCATTCTTTTTAGACTGTTCAAGGTCGATGAAGAGTAGAATATCGCTCTTCGCTTCTAATTCCAATATTTCTTTCGGTGTGATATAGGCTTTCAACTGCGGCGGCGGTACGTGATTGAATATCTTGCAAAGGTTTTATGATAAAATTAAAGGTACAATATATTTGGTAATTTCTTACACTTACTTTAGAGGGGATGCAAACTGTTATACTTATTCGGGTTCCAGCAAATATACTAGCAATAAGTTCCTTGACTTGCTTCCAATCTAAACCGTCAAAACCGCAACCGATTTTCGGAATTCCTAATTTTGTTAAGATCATTGCTTTCATTTTTTCTAATAGGGACTTGAGAGCTACTGTTAACGATTGTATTGTAGGTTTTTTGCCACTGTATTGTTTTGTAACCAAGTAAAAAGCGGTTTCATTACGTTCGTTGACAACCACGTCAACATTTCCTACGGTTACGTTGACAACCACGGCAACATTTCCTACGGTTAAGTTTTGGTCGAACAGTTGACCAACACCGCCGAAATAACGTCTAGCAATCGATCGCAATCATTGTTATTTTCATCAATATAATTTTTTATATTTTATATTTTCCTAATCCCATTCTTAAATCTTCGGCTACACAATGAGCCAGAGCAACATATCTGGGCATGTTGAATAAATTTTCATCTATTTCTTTAAGGTAACTTGAAAATATTCAAAAATATTTTTTAAGAAATTGAAAATATTTTTATTCATAAAATACTAATAATTCATACCAAGTTCTCTCTTCTATTGTCGGTATTTTTTCGACCTTTGATTTTATTTGTTTACAAACGTTTGCATAACTCATGATTTTTAAGTTACTGTCTTGAATATTTTTTCCATCGATTGCATTATCATTCAAAGATGAGTTCATAACATTCTTCGAACTTGTATCACAACTAGTTGCATATTTAGTTTTACTTACACTGTTATACATTTATGATAATTTCATATTATATTTAATAATAAGTATAAAGAACACTACGGCTTTTTAATATTTATAAATGTACAGTATGATTTACTAATGTTCAAATAAATGCGACTTATTTTCAAAAATTATAATTGTTTTGTAATTTTTTAAATATACATATTATTTTATAAACTTGTAAGTCTTGGATCGTAGTTAGAGCATTTAAAATTATTTTAAACGTAAAAAAAAATAAAACTATCAATCTGATCGTATCAAATTATTTTTTCTATGTTCAAATTATATAAACAAGGGTAGGTACATGAATAATATAAAATACGTATATTATAGGAGAGCATTAAACAACAAAATAATGTTATTATTAAGTGTAAAAAAGCCAAATTAGTATTAATAAAAATATATTATGAATATAAGAGATATATTATTATGCATCAATCTAAATGATAAATTTTCTTTAAAACGTATATTAATTATGTCATTTAATGAATCTTATTTTCTTCTAATTGTGTAATTTTTTTTGAACATTTTTTCAATTACTATCGGTAAAGATTAGAACAAAGTTTAAAATCTAATATTTAATCGACCTATAAATTAAAAAAAAATATATAAATAAATTTATAAATTTATTAATAAATAAATAAATTATAAATTTATTAATTTTTCGTGTAATCAAATTGTATATTCAGTGCATTTTAGATCCATAGTTTTAACTTCTTATACCATTATGATCCAATTTACAAAATGTTAAAAATTTACATTTTTTACACTTAGTTATTAAGGTTACTTAGGTAATTATTTAACTTAGGTTTAGATAAAAATTGTCAGGAAAATTGTATAATATTAAAAAATAAAAAATTAAACTTATTAAATTATTATAAAATACTTTTGAATGAGTTGTGTAGTCTCTATGGATGCTTTAGGTACATCACGTTTTCCTTTTTCTTTAACTAATGAAACTTGAGCTGTTTCGTTTAACAAACCATTATTTTTACTCTTCATTTGTCCTTTCGGTTCAGATTCATTAACTTTATTAACTTTAGTTCTATATTATAATAAATAAGTATTTAATACATTTCTACAAGCTGAACTTAGTTATTTTATTTTAATTTAAAATTAACTATTTTCAATTTATATGCAAGGCAAAATAATTATGATACTTCCAGAGTTAAAAATCACTTAATATCTTTACTTTTTTTGTTGAGTATCAATTCTTTCCAAAGACAAAGTCCTGAAAAAGGAAATATTTCAATGTGTAATCAAGGTGAAAAAATCAAGAATAAAAAATAATTTAACATAAATACTGTAACTATGCAGGTATCATATCATATTTATGAATAAAGTTTAATTTTATTTTAAATTTATAATTTGTTAAATTTACTTTTATTTTTTATTTTTTGTCTGATTACTCAATTATATGTGTAAAGATATACGGTATTAAATTAGTACAAGTGGTGAACAGTAACAAACTAATGAACTTATGTACAATGATAACTTATGTACAATGATTTACATTTTTGTTCATCTTCTTCGTTGGGGTATTCATTCTCGATGAATTGAAAATAGGTTTTTCTGAAACTAAAATAAACGGTAACGCTATATATACGGTTAGTCGGCTGTTGTTTTTTTTTCGTTTCCTAAGTTGATTACATATCAATGTAATAGATAAAAAATTAGTCTCCGGTGGGTTTACTTTCTAAGACATACCTAATACCTATCGCACGTTAGTATTCAAATAACCAAAAAAATTAAAACAAACATTGTGGGTGCATCAGTTATACAATGCGATCAAATGGTGAAACGGTAAGTACCTACGGTATAAAAAGAGATAACAAAATTATTTTCAATTATTACAATTTTTTGGGAGATTTAATTCATTCCACTACGACGTATCCGCCGTAGACTGTGCGAACCGGGAAAATCTTGTTGGCCGATTAAAACCATCGTCGAACATTTGTCCAATTTATGCACGGGTTGAACCAGTGGAACGTAATCGTATGTACGTATGTAGCAATTGTGTCCAATATTACTCCTGCACGTGCACGTATGCTAATGTTTACAATTGCAGTAAAATTTCGTCTCCTCCCCTCATCCCGAGGGGATCTATACGACGTACAGAGGTGGGTTGATGCTCTGAAAGCCCAGACGGGTACGAATTGTACGAACTAGCGAACAAGTGGCACGAGTTACGACCACAAACCTAGCTTGTGGTCAGAACAGGGCCGGTTTTAAATATGATCGACGCTTGCGATGGCACAGGGTGCCAAAATCTGAAGGATGCGTGAGCGGCATCAAAATTATAATTAAATTTTATCAATCATTGGCGACGCAAATTATCTACTATAAATAGAAAAAATAATTTCACGATATGATTCAATACAAATTTGATTATTATTATAATTATCATTATTTATTATTCTATCGACGTATAGATAAGGTAAGGATTGGCCGGGCTTGCCTTAGGTACAATTACAGTTTTATAAACTATCATTATATTGTTACAAGTAATATTATGTTGGTTCACTGAATGATTTACAAATATGTGGCAAATATGCTCGTTTGAAAAATTATATTGAGCATTTATGATTATGAATGAGGCTTAGGTTATAATATTTATAATGAGGTCGCTCCAGTTCCCAAAATTTTGCCTGTTTAAGTTATATGTTTAAGTTGTTTAAGATGGAGGATTGCCAAAATAATTCTTGAACTGAGCGCTGAAAGAGCTAAAGTCAGCCCTGGGTCCGACCGTTAAAATTTCCGAACGACTCGGATGAATCTACCCGGGTGCGTATCATATAAATGAAATAAGGGGGCTGGGTATAGTAAACTGAGTTACTGCCATGATTCGTTGCGCACGCCGATTCGTACAAAATCTTTCTTACGTCTGATTTTTTAAATATTTTAAGTACCTACATCCGATATGGTTCTAACTAATTTCAAAGGGTGGGGAGGGGTTCAGCCTCATATTCTTACTCTTATATCCGCACCTGCGTCAACCCACCCGGCCAGTATTCCGCCCCCGATGACGAACGTGCGTCCAGCGCGAGCGGTAGAAGCGACCGTGTACCCTGGGCCGAGGGTCTAGTACAGCGCGGGCATGCGACAAGTGTACTTACGTGATGCGATGATGTCGCTGCTGATAATATTTCTTCGTAACAGTTGTCGGAAGGTTTGCAGCAACAGTGGTCACCAGAGTTGAATATTATGTACAATAATAATATGATATAATTCGATTCCGGTTATGTTGCTCTCGAATTGCACTACAAAAGGCGCTGACAAGTCGAAATGCCTTTTCCAAATATGTTATTTCGACTAGGTACAACCGTGTCTACGATACCATGTAGCGTAGTAACGTATTTTCGAAGTTTTTCGGCCAGTAAATGGTGTAGAAAACGATTTTTTTCTTACGTTATAAATCGTATCGATTGCTGCGTTGCAACCAATTCGGCTCGCTCTTGGACGATTGAGTCTAGCAAAATATGATAGATTTCATCCTTACCGGATTTATTGAACCCTTACGGAAAAAAAGTCTATGCATGCCCTTGCACGTCGTCCACGAGCATTCTGCCGGGACGTGTTCCAGTCCGTCCGTTGTACCTAATATGACTTTTTGGTTGGTGGTATTAACTATGATTGAACTACCAACTGAAAAATCTCAAACCGCCTATGATGCCACCATAGGTAATTAAAAAAAAATCTTATACTCGACTTATTTGTTATAAAAGATTAACTATCATTTTCCTTGGATAGCCAAATGTAAACCTTCGATGGAAAAATAAAGATAATTATGTGTTCACTTCATAAGAAAAATTTTCTGTGCCGTTTTGTATGTATATTGATTATATATATATTATTATATATATTTGATTAATCAATAACCGAATTTTTTAATATCTCAATAACCGATTAATCGACTTTTTTACAATGGAAAAATTGATTCCTTAACTTCCACAGAATTTTCAACAAGATTTGCAGGATGAAATGCTGATGTAAATGTCTATTTTTACAATATTATCCTTAATAAATTACGAATCATTGAACTCAGAACATCATATTAGCACAGATTTAAAATTTAAGTATGAAATCAAGTATTCTAATATTATGTATATATTGATTAATCAGAAATTCGATTATTTAATTAATCGGAAATTCGATTATTTGGGGATTCGTCGAATTTTATAAAAACTGTAAAATATGTAATCGACGGGAAAAAAAATAATCGTAATAATCGATTAATTCGAAATAATCGAACAGCCCTAGTTTTTGTGCAACAATGCACCATTCTAACCTCGTTGTTGATAACGGTGATAACAAATCCGACGAAAAAGAATCGCATGAATCAATCCGCCGCTGATAACCAGAGGCCGATGAATTTCTGAGTTTTTTTTTATTGAACTTAAATTATTATTCATACAATTATATACGTTTTTTTTACGTTTTTTCTTCTTGTTTTCGCAATGGTTTTCACCACAGCAATGATGTTGGTTAGGAGTAGAGGCCCGGACGAGTTTTGGAGAAAAAGAAAAATATTCAAAATAGCTGCTGTAAATAAACATATTTATATTTTAATGATCATACGAATTGTATAGACTAATAATCCTGTACCTGTATTAGATACCTTACAATGTTTATCTATTGCATTTTGGTAATTTGCTTAACAAATGTGTTTACAGCATTTTTCTGGTCGCCGAAGGAACTGCTACTCTATTGCCATTAAAGCTGTGCATCGTGCTCTTCAATTTGCTACAATTGGACGGGCACTTCGAAAAAGTGACATGATTGTTGTAAGTAACTGTATTCAACGTAAATTATATTATTTGAAACTAGTTAATATTGTCTACTGAATCGGTTGAGTATTTTGTAATATACTATATATTTATTTAAGTTAACCGTGTTAATTTTAAATGATAAAAACATTTATAATAGGAAAAATACTATTACTCTGAGGATTATTTATCCTTTTAGTATACAATAAACAAGTAAATATTTTTTTTATTTATTAATATCAATAATAATAATTGTTACTTTATTTAATTATTAATTGCACAATTTTGTAGTTTTCTTACTTTTTACATATATCTATAAGTTTAATTTATGTTTTTTAGTTGTGGAACACTCGTATAAGAGCTGGTTGTGAAGAACACGGAATCGAACTAAATACTTTTAAAGAAGGTTTATCCAGATGTGATATTCAACTAAATAAGAAAGTTTTGGCAGATTTAGCCATTTGGGAACCTAGCACATTTAAAGTAAGTGTGTTTCATACAGACAATTATTCATTTTATGTTTATATATTAACATATTTGTAATATTTAAAATATTTCATAACTGGATTATTTACTATAAATAATGTATACTATACTCACATTCTTAATATTAAATATTTAAATTTAATAACTTTGTAAAAAAATGTTTAGGCATTATCTGATCTATCAAAGTCAGTATCAATAGATTATGAACTACCAGGGAGTGAAAAATACAATGTACCAACAAATGTAGTCACAAGAGGCTTATTGAAAAAGTAATTTTGTTTTGTATTGTTTTTCAAAATTAACTCTAAAATAAATTAGCTGTAAGAAATACTTTGTAGAAAAAGAATAAATATTTTTAATTTGAATTTAACTAATTCTTTATTGTTCGTTTTTGTTCCCTTGAACCATTTTGTATAATTTTACACTTGTCTGCATTATATTTCACTATTTAAGTTATATAACAAACAAAATTGTTTGATTATTATTCCGATGTAATTTATATTTATTAACATAAAAAATAATAACATTTAAATGTAATGATAGATAAAAAAAATAGACAGTAAAATAAGTAATTGTGAAAGTTTAAACTAATATATTTTAAGTACACAATTTTATAAATACCGTCTATAAATAAACACTATTTAATAATATATTCATTGTGTTACAGTATTTTTTATTTAGTAGTTAAAGTGCTTTCACTTTGAATTGTGTAAATTAAGTATTTTTATAATAAGTGATAGATTCCTAATAAGTATTACAAATAATATAACATAATTTAAATTCGAAAAATATTACTACTAAACTACTACTTAACTTGGTATTTAAGCTAATCGAAAAATAATATTGTCACTGGTACTCTCATACACCAAAATAGACAGTTGAACAGTTTTGCCAATATTAAATAGTCTTACACTATATAATATGCATTCTATTGATCTTGAGGTACTGGACTGTTGTCATCGCTTTTAGTTAAGTAAATCTCCACCATCTTGGTGGATTGTTTAGTAATTTTTTTTCGCATGCAGGGTGCCAAAAGTTTGGGATCTATATTTTGATCTATCGGAAACAACCAACTGACAATAAGTCCAACAACTATTCCTATTCCAGTGCCTATTGTGTTGTAATGCATGTATGATACTGTGAACATTTTCCATACATTTGGACTCACATACACATCATCGTTCATTTGATATAATCTGAAACAATAATCCATCAATGCAACTGTATAAACTCTATTCATGACTCATGGTAAAAATCAATAATTGTTATGGAGTTAATAGGTTGAATCATAATGTAGAACTACATAAATGTTCAGTGTTGATATTATATATTTTATAAAATGTAGACAGTTATAAACAAGGTTGCATTGAGAGGATGGTTTGGAGTTAAGACAATTTCTTACCTTCACATATGTAGAGGGGTTGCTATAGTTTTTATGGTAACTAAAAAAATCTAAGAAATACTTACACATTCAAAATGATAATTTTTACAACTATTTATTTAGACATGTGTTATACTGTCATAAGACAGTTAATTTTATTTCATATGCATGATTCATATTGTGTAAAAGTTCACTGAAATGGGAAAATATAACCGCGAGTAGACCAAGTAGTTTTTTAACAGATATAGTTAAATCCCCGTTTTTAACTTTCCCTTGTGTGCTGGACTATCTAAGGGCAATATTTCGTGTTGTTTCCCTTGGGGCTTGGATGACACAGTCTTAAATATTGCATTAGTTGTACCAGTGAAACAATCAGGATTTTTTCAAGGTAGATGTCCAACAGTGGTACAATATAGCTAATAATTATAGAATTTCGAATCACTACTATTTAATGTTTATTGTATTATCTTATTCAAACTGAATTGTACCTACAGTAGAATTAAAAATGATTTTATTTGTTTCGACATTATTACCACTCGAGGACATGACAATATCTAAACAAAATTAAAACTTTAGAATTTTCTATGGTAGCAAATTCAAAACAGAATAATATTAAAATATGCTTCGACGACACTATAAGTAAACCATAATTCATAGTAATAATATTTTCATGTTTTTGTTTTTTTTCTGATTGTGAGAAATACCGAAAAGCGCCAAATAAAAATGTCTTCGTGTTACTTATTGATAACTTTTCGGGACACGTTTTCTACAACTATAAGATTGCTACAGTTCTACAATAAGAGAAAAAAATTTACGTGCGTCGAAGAGTCCCCCCTGAGAATAGCGCACTTTTTACATGGAACACAGTTGCGATTCTGCACAACTGCTCGGACATTATACGCCGCGACACGTTAGTACGGTGGAAAATGAAATAAAAACATTTATGCTATCGTCTATTTCCGACGGCATACCCGGAGTAATTCGCCGGATTCCTAAAAGTCGTGTTGGCCGGACATCCAGCCACCGAAACGCTCTTCGTGACGAATTTCAACTGGTTATCGTACACGGCGAGTTGAGCTCCAGTGACGATCCACGCCATCACTCCTAGGCTGGCCACCATGCCGCACATCGCTCCCTGCTCATGAAAACCAGACGGTATAAATAAACGTCGACGCCCGTGCGCGGTAAACGACCGTCCGGACGTGGATTGATCGTACACGTTTTTAACGCAGCGCACGATCACCGGACGGCGAGCGCGCCCGCAGGATAAGATCCCACCTGGGGCAAGGTTAAAATTCTAAGGGCCAAAACGACGTGTATCTAAAAATAGACGAGAACGAAATCAAATACCATAGAAATCGGTACTCGGGGGAACTTGTAGTTTTAAGCGATACGCAGTCATGTGAAAACATTGTAAACCAATAAATACGTTCAAGATTATTTGAGATTGTCTAAGAGTACAATACATTTCACCGTACTTCGTAAATGGATCTCAACAAAATTATGTAACAGTTAATATGCGTGGCGTTAAATCAACAATAGTTTTGAAAGAAAAATTCCCAGTAGGGGCAATGGCCCTTTGGCCCCCTCCCCAACGGGCGCGCGTGCCGGACGGAGGCCCTTTCGTAAATGTCAAACTCACCCTCGGGTTCGCCCGCGGAAAGCATACGCCCAATGTGAACACGCTTAGTATGGCTCCGTTGGTTATGCCGCTCACGCTGGTCGTCATCTACGCGGTCGTTGCGCATGCATAACGTAAAAACACGCGTTCAGAAATAAAGGTTTGTTCTTTCGCAACGAAGAGAGTGTGCGCGAACTCACTTGAACGATCCCTTTCAATTGCTCGACCACGTTTACCAAGAGCACGCAAACGACGCCGACGACCACGACGATGCATTTCATGATGACGTTCGCTCTCGACTCGACGACCACTCGGACGCCCAACATTTTCACGAGAAAGTCCTCGTAAATCGTAGCGCACACGGTGTTCAGCTGTGCAGACATCGTGCTGAAACACGAAACCTGAAAACTGCTGAAACCGCGTTTTCCGATGCGCTCAAGCACGCGTTCCCCGCGTACCATGGCGGATGGGGGATGTTCGTAGGAGGATATTTGGTCATATTCGTGGGGGGGGGGCTTAACATTTTCGTCGTATCGATTAGCGTGAACGGACGTTTTTGAACGCTTCAACCTACCAACTAGTGGCTTCTCCTACTTCATTCCAGTCGAGGTACCAACCACGTACAGGAAAATTAAAATATTAAATATTAAATAACTACTCATTTTTATTTTTTATTTTAATTGTATAAATCTATTCATTTATTACCTACAAAATATGGTTTTCCGCAACAACGATGGACCGTCAATTTTCCAGACCATTACGACAAAGTAAAATAAAAATTATTAATGTCAAATATTAAAATGCGCATTTTATTTTGACGAATGGTTTAGTTTGATAACGTTCAGGGGAGTTTAAGTCCCCTCCTCCTTAATATCTGCTTACGGAGAGGTCATATATATATACGTGTATAGATCATAAAAGCTCGATGTTTGAACTGTTAAGAATCAACATTGAAAACATATTATTTCTCCCTTGCTATGTTTTGTACACGTAGTTCGTTTTAGATTTATAACGCAACGAGCAACGAACGTATTATCAATCTACTTATTCTCCTTGCACCTGTCCTGATTTTATAAGAGATAACGCCGAACCGACGAAACGAGTCTCTGTCCGTCGTCAATTTAGTACCAACAAGTTTTTGTCATTTATATCCAAAGACCTTATACTCAGAGTATAAGGTCTATGTTTATATCACATGTTAATAAGTATCTAATCGGTTTGATATACGATACTGACCCCATAGAATGTCACGTCTATTGATGATCATGCTAAATGTTACCTAATCAACGTTGCTTCTGGTTGACTAGATTTGACGAAATTGATTTGTGAAAACAAGTTTTAACGAATTTCAGGTCTTAACATATTTACATATCACCCACCGAGATCTAGTGTTCGGGAACTTGTCAAAATAAACTTATGAAATTATATTGGAAATTACACAAAGTCCAAAGTCCAAGCTTATAAGAAGGGACGTTACATCGTCATGTTAAAAAAATAAAAACCATTTATACCTAGTTAAGGAGAACAATCTGGAATCCCACTCAACAATAGGTTTTCTACATTATCATTTTAACTCCAACCAGTTACGATACAAAATACGAACATTTAATTTAAACCAATGATTAATAAATAATCATTTACGAACATAAAACATATAGACATGGGTAGGTACAAGTACTTACCTTAATGCAGCGCTAACCAAGCCAGAAATGAACAAACCGGTAAGTCCGGTATATTTCGCTGCTACATCCATAACGAAATACGGTAACAAATGTTTATCGCTAGTCACATACTGCAACAGTTGAAATGTAAAATTTTTTTAACCTTTTTCCTTCGAAGTTTTGATATCCTTCTGTTGTATATTAATCTTATAAATAAGTCCTAGTGAGGAGGTTCGAAAAGCATAAACATAAAATTCTAACCCCAGAAAAAATACAAATCAGAACCAGAGTTATTCGCTAGGCAGCTGTTATAATATTTGCTCAGTACGAAATACCGAAAGGTTCATGATTGAAAAACATCCATAAAAAGTTTAAATGTTTTGATTATTGGACCACAGCGTTGATCAATGATGGTCCGAATGTGACACGCACGGACGCACTTAATATTGTTGGCTAAATTGAGATTAGATTAAATTAATTAAGTTGGATAGTATTACGTCAACTGCTGATGTGCACGTCATGATTAACCGTTGACGTCGTGATACATTTCCACCCCTGTCGTACAGTATTGTGGCCAATTCGGCTAAAAACGATAAAGTGTTCGCATAGAGTAGTCGCGACAATACCCATCCAAACCAAAGTTATGAATCCTATACAACGATCATTCTCGGACATAAGCTCGTATATATACGTATATAATATATCGTATATAATATATTATGTATAAATAATTAATTATTGATTATTAAATTTATTTTAATTAATTTTATTTAATAATTTATTTAAATTTATTTAATTTTGATTATTAAAAATGATAAAAAAAAAAAGTTTGCTCACTTTGGCCGAAACGGGATCGCAGTCTTTGTACGTGGCGAAAATCAGCATTCCGACCGTTCCTGTCAGAACTTTAACGATAATCAATCCGATGCCAAAATAAATCAATGCTTTTCGAGCCTTGCTGTACGTTGGCAACGCTACGAACCGTTGAATGGCACCGGGGTGAATACCGAGATAAATGATCAAAGTAAACGCCGTGCCTGTATTCACTGTCCAAAATGTATGTCTCAAAAACGGATCCGGGTTCATCCTGAATAAAATATTACTCCAAATCGTGTAAGAAGGTCAACGTCTCAGAATATTATAGCTATCATGTGTACAATGCATAAGTAACTAAATGAACAGGTAGTTAGTTCTCTGACTTTTCCTATAGTCAGGCGTACAGGTATATCATATATTTTTTCGTGAACATTTGATTAGGAAACAATAAATTCACGGAACTCTGAATAATTAGACTCGATTGTTTACGTACCTGTGAACTTACATAAAATGTAAATAATGACCACAATAATATATTATAACGTTTAATCTGAATATACTTATTCGCAGTTAAGTGTTCTCTACAGTTATCATAAGTCATGTTTACGAATACCTCTATAATTCATATTTTTGATTTAACGATAGTTTTTAGAACATTTATCATGACACTTGCATGAGAATATTTTTTTTTCGTTAAACCTATATGATTGATAAAATAAATAATTTTTTTTTTTTTTAAATAAATTATTTCAAATAGTTTTCATTAGAATTTCGCAGGATAGAAACTTAAAATACAAAACCCGAGAAAAATATTTGTAAATCATACTATTAAAAAGCACACGTTTACTATAATCATACAGGGTACACTTGTACAGCAGTGCTGTAGTCAAAAGGCAAAACATATTAGCTGTTGATCATGTATGTAATTAAATGCAAAACGTGAATACTATAGGTAGGCAGTGCTTGACTTGGGGGTGAAGCAGGGGGACTGAGTACCCCAGCTAAATGATCAGATAATCTAGCATGCCTCTACTATTGTGTCAAAAAAAGGAGAGGAGAAGACCCGAGATGGTATTTTATTTAAGTTTAGTTTTCACAAAATTACAAAAAGCAAATAAATCGTTTACAAAATGTGTAGGTATACCTGAGTATTAGTTTTTTTTGTACAGCGGTACGTACATCATAAATTAATAATCAAACATCAACATCGACAATTTTTGTTGGCATACACAATCGCGTACTTATAACCAATACACAGAACGTCTGTGGTTTATTTACTTTTTGTTATAATTAGAATTTTAAACCGATTTTAGTCCTTTTAGACAAAAACCATACATATTATATTTGTATACTGAGGTCATGGTTGAACATTTGAAGGTGAATATTATGATTTATGAAATATTCGTTGGTTCGTAGTAACATGTTTGAGGAGGGTGTCATAATCTGGCGTACACGGTTATGTTTAGTTTTTAATTAGCTAGGGACGCACAATTTGTATGTCTCATCAGAGCACCTCTACTATTTTTTTTCCCCAAGTCAAGCACTGCTGATAGGTGGGGTAGGTACCTGAAAAGTTCAATTCGATCTCCTTCTATGTTAGCTTTTATCGCATTACTGAACCCTCCGACTTGTATGAAGCCCAAGACGATCACTGCTACGATTGACATGATGGTAAACACGCTCTGAATCGCATCCGTCCACACCACTGCTTTCAGTCCACCCTGAGAAGTGTACATTCATTGTGACACTAAAATGCATTATCTTAATACTTATGGACGTCTGTAAAATATTATACTTACGACGGTTGTGTAAAATATACAAATGGAACATATAATGGGAGTTATTAAATGTACGTTGAATCCCGATACTGTAATGCAAACATTGCCAATATTAAATAAATAGATCATTATTATATTAGACATTTGATGTACACGACTATATAGTTATTGTAAATAGGGATCAACTATTTTTGAAATTCATATACGTATAACTCTCCTATAGGTACATTTGTACTAATTGGTATAAATGTATGCAGTGTATAGCTGTGGTGTAGCCAGAATTTTTAAATCGGAGGGGTTAAAAATTTTTTTGGGCAGGTTAGGTAAGAAAAACATTGAGAGTTCACCCATCACCCCTCCCTCAGTACCAAATTTGAAAATGTATTTCCATCATTTTCAAATACCTAGTTTTAATAATATTTATTAAAATACAATTAATGATAATAATAAATTAACGGTGGTCAGCTGCGGTAGCATCGTCACGACGTAACATGGTATTAAAACTACAGTGATTATAAAATGTAAATGTTAAACGAGAGTCACAGCACAACGTTCACGATAACTACCAAAAATATAATAGTAATCACGATGGAAGTAATATGCTTATGCATTTACAAAGGACAAATACCCGTTATTCGTCAACGATTAGTTAGTACCAAAGTTTTAAAATATTTAAATACCAAATAGTAATATACTAGTTTAGTACATTCACATAAACACCCTATAGCTATACCACCTTAGTCCCCCCCCCTTGGCTACGCCACTAGTATTACGTATATGTACATAGTACATACTCGTGTACTACTAGTGGTTTTTTTATGATCCATACAGTTTTAAAGATAATGTTAAAGGTGAAATATTGTATAAAAAAAATCATGTTTTTAGGTAAATTCGCACCCGCCTTGATAAATATTTGCAGTTGTTTGTAAACATGTAGAGACTATTTAACGTTAAACATTCATTTATTGGTTTATTTATGTTTTTGATAACATTTATTTTATAGGTATTTAGCTTCTATTTGTATACATCAATAATACATACAGGCAGATCTTAAATAATAGTATAAAACTATTATGTTCATAAACCATGATGTTTAAAAATCATTCACCCAAAATTTCGTGAAATTTCTAAATTTTAACGTTTAAAAAACCGTTTAGTAAAATAATTTAAAAAATATTAGCTTGAAAGTAATGATGATTAGGTGCACACGATTAACTGATCCACGAGGCGAATCCGTACTAAATTTCTAAACCAGTTATAACTTTACTCGATCATTCGTACTTTGATTGAACACCAACGCCGATATGTAAATCACTTGCGGTATAAACAGTACAATAGAAACGCCGTAGATAAGCGAACACAGTGCTCGAATGCTGGAATCGAAGCGCAGTTCCAAGTACTGTGTACATACATTATAAACAATAATTAGTGTATTCCGAACGGATCCGTTTGTCATTGAAATGGCTAGACGACACGCGATTACCTCGTAGATCGATGTCAATTGAAGTTTGTAGAACACTGGCAAGTATATGTGTAAGACCACAACAACAGCTACTGCGTTCATCAAAACGGCAATCAGATATTGCGTACCGTGGCTGTAGACCTCGGTGGGTACTCCGAGCAGCGAAATACCAGAGATATGACTGTAAAAACAACAATACGAATTCGACTTAAAATCGTAGTGCCGAACAGATCGATCTGACGAATCTGAACTCGACGGATCCGTCGATGTTCAACGTCCATTTCTTTGGTACCCTCATTTTGAGATTTTGGGATGAAACATTCTCCCATAATTCGTACCTCGTTCGTACCACAAATAATTTTCACTTGAACGGTGCGACAACCCTTTAATGTTGATTATATTTTTTGGAAAAATGTTTTGTACATCTTTTTATGTTGGTGTTATATGTTATGTCATTTATAATAATATTTTTAATTAATTAATGCATTATAGATTATCTAACGTTATAATATATATAAAATTGGTTTTTAAAACAAATAAATAGTTTTTAATAATTTTGTTTATAGTAAAATGTGATATTAATTGATCCAATTAATACTTTGAACAACCAAACCAAGAAAACGTACACTAATTAATTTTACATCGAAATCATATACATCATATTGTGTCTATGTGTATATTTGTAAAAAGGATTATGCAGTATTATTATTATCATTATTGTGGTTTCGGCGTATTGTTCATCGTTTTTTTTTTTTTTTTACTAGAAATATTGAACTAATAATTGATTACGAATAACTAAAGGGCATACAATTGTTCAAATTTATTTTAATTAAGTTGTACATGAATTCTTAGAATGTGAACGTATGATAGTAATGTAATAAATTAACTGAAATAAAAACAAATAATACAATATTTTTTATACTGTAAATTCTGATTAAAATAATTTTTTTGTCCTTTTTAAAAATATTTCATGTATATAAATAGCACTAACTACGCTTTTCATTTAGAATACAGTTTTCATGGATTTAATGTTATGATTTTTATACATTAATATCGTAATTTTAATATTTTTTCATTCGAGTATTATAAAAAAAAAAAAAAAAAATTATAAATAATATAATTTTAAAAAAATCGGTGTCCTTAGAATTCAAGTCTATGCTTTAAGACGGTATCATTGGAGCGTAAACTGTTAACATGATCTATTGAAGTTGTGTTCGATGAAAAGTGCAGCACACATGGCAATACGAACGCTAATCCAACGTGTCTGGTATGAGTTTTGTTAGAATTTATTAAGCGCATGGAGAAAATATAAATTAGTTTATAAAATAATAAAAAAATAGTAAATGGTTAGTACTGGTAAATTAATACATAAATAAATAAACAAATAGTTCATACATACATAAATGATCATGGTTTTTTAATTTCATGATGTTGAATTTTTAATTCAAAACCGGTCGTGCTTTGAAAATATAATAACACTCAAAGCTAAGCATTTATTTATTTATACAGATATAAACCATTTGTTTATTTATACATTAACCAGAGGCGTGCCCAGGATCAAAACGTAGGACAGGTCCACTTATAGTTATTGTAATTTATATAGGTATCTATAATTTTTTTTTTTTTTTTTTTTTTGTTCGTAAACTTTTCATAACATTTATAAATTGAATTAGAAAAAAACGATAATACAATAAAATTCGTCCTGTTTGACTTGTTAATAATGTTTAAAGATATTAAAAAGTAAAGTAAATAATTAAGTAAAACATATTAATAATAACCATTTGAAAACCGCGAAAGCGATTTTCCGCGCGCAAATCGGAAGGCTGTACCGAGATGCTCGTGGCGCTCGCCCGAAGCAGAAAAAAAAAAAAAAAAAACGTAAAGGCGGGGTTACGCGAGATGTGAGGCACGTTCGCATCTCCTGTGAGTTGTGATTTCAAAAAGCATCACGCGAATCGTGAAGGTGTTTATACATGAACGCAATTATCCTTTGGTGAGATGGTACGAATCGATTGTTTAAGCCAATCGATCGTGTGGTTCACGTCCTGCGCGTAAGCCCGCCTTTAAGCTCCAGTCGCAGGTACGCGCGAAACGAAAAGCCCAACTGATGTACCGAACCTGGCGATCAGCGACACGGCGATGGGGAACACGGACATTTGCTTACCGCCCAGCAGGTAAGCGCCGGCGGCGTTCTGTCCGCCTCTCGCGCACCCGAAGTGCAAGCCCACGGCCACGGACAGGCCGAGCATGACGGCGAACGCGGCGCACTCGGCCGTCCAGTTCACGCGATCGGCCATGCGTGCGGAACCGCGGGACGAAGGTGCGACGGAACGGTCGGACGAGTCACACACGCTGGTACGCGATACGGTTGCGTCGAGCGATTTGCGGTGGAATGATGGGATGCAGCAAGAGTGCGATGCGTGGTCGGAACGAATGGAGTAGGGGACCGAGTTGTCCCCGTTGAGATCGCTGCGACGAACGCACGTCGACGGTTCGCAGTGGCGTGCGCAGGAATTTCGTATGGCGGGGGGGGGATGTCGTACATAAAAATGTATTATTTTCAATTTGTATTCTTTAATGTTAAACAAAAAAAAAAAAAAAAAAATTCAATCAAGACGGAAATTCATCCTTCTGGCTTTTACACTATATTCATCGATAATTTGTTCCGTAGATAATGGAATGTCTCGATGTATGTTCATCAACGCAATCCATTTAACCATGGCTGCCCCGTCGTATTTATTAAAAAGAAATGGAAAAAAAAATCCCATGGGGGGATTATCCCCCATCATCCCTCTCCCGCGCACGACACTGACGGTTCGTGTGACGATTTCACTCCCTGCCGGAAGTCCGGCGTTCTACAAATCGCGAACGCATAGCTTTGCTAACAAATAATCCCGTGACCTATGTTGTCGCCGGCAAAAGGTCATCTATAATCTTGTTGTTGTCGACGACAATCCAACGACCTCAAAGCTTATAAGATTATTTGGAAATAAAATAAATAGAATAAATATGCACGGGGGGGGGGGCGTATTTGAGGAAGAGGCAGGATTGTCATAAATTTATAAAGCTAAACTGGGACGAAACAAACACATAATTGAGTAATTTACTTTTTATAGAACTTTTAATATATTGAGAGGACCATTAGTGGCCGGCAATATAATATTTAAAAATATTTTTGTAAAGTAGAACATATTATATATTTATATGTGTAAATTAAAAATTATGAATTTATTATTTATTGCTAATCGATTGAATCGTCGAAATTAAAAATCAAACAATTCTAGGCGTCTAGGCCGGGAAGAGCAAAAAAATAAAATTTGAAAATCATGAAATGCGCGCACTTTTTCTTATCATTGTGACTTTTGCTCATATCCATGGGTAACAGAATATTCTATTATCTATGCCTAGCACAACAAATGTCACTGATAACATTAAATATAGATGAGCGATAACACGAGAATATAATGTTTTTGACATTTTTTTTCTTTAAAAACCGTATTTTTCAATTATTTATAAGATATTCATATTGATTTACTTTTGATGCGCATGACGATTTGTAATAACTTCCATTGTTAACACAATACCGGCTTAAATGTAGTCGACTTCATTGCGCGTCAACAGAATTTCAGACGCACGGAATTCAAACTTTCGTTACACGTCTTAGTTCCCATTGTCATTTGATGTCCGATCAAACGTTGCGTTCGGCATCATGTCGTCGTCGTTGTCATCTTCCGCCGACAACCAGAACGAGACTCAGTCCAGACTGTATTTCCTCAACGAACAGTTACAGAAAATGGTTAAAGAACTACCTAGGTAAGTAAAGCTTAATTAAACAAAGTTATTACTCCTCCATATTTTTCTACGATTTCACTTACTAGCATTTTAATCTAGGCGATCGATAATGTCAAGACGATTTATTAATTACAATACTCATTTTTTACCAGTTAATAATAATTTATCTTATCCCGTTTATTCAATAATTAAACATGATTACATTGTGCAGCTGTAAAATTCAAATAACAATTTTTAATTTTGTCTGATAATAAAAAATATTCATGTTTTAGGAAATACCAACAACGTATTCCCAACGAATTACTGTGCGAACTAGCTGAATGTCTTTTGGATGAGACATTATATTCAATTGTCAAAGAACTGACTGATATACAACATGTAACCGAAAAGCAAATGTTTCAAAAACGGTTAGAAATGATTAACAAACATTCTGGTAAAATATATTGCTGAACATATTATTTTTAAAATGATTTTGTATAGAGAATCAAATGGTTGTTTTGTTTAAGTCGGTATACAAAAATTACTCAAGTCTGATTTAGTTGAACCAGGCAAGACTGAAACAAGATTGAAACTTCAAGCTGAACATCGGAAAAATTTAAGAGATTTTGATAAAAAAATAGTAACTGAACTTGATGAAAAGGTATTAGTTGTCATAAGTAGGTGCTTAATTGTTATTTATAACTGAGTTTTGATAGGATTATCTGAAAAAGTTGTTTTTTGACATATTTTTATATCAAGTAACTATACAATTATGAATTGATGTACTTAATACCTTGTATATGTTTGGTAAATTAAAAACAATTGTTCAAAATCTCAACACATATCAGAATATTTCATTTATATCAGAAAAGGAAATATAATATAATCATATAGTTTAATAAATATTATTTCCTTGGTTTTTTGTACTGCCATTGAAAGTATTGTATGTGCATTACATGTTGAGCTGATGTTGAGTATTATAATTTGTCCTAAATTATTTGCCTTATTTGTCTTTACTATTTATAATTTAAATCTGAATATTTTTATTAATCTATAAATAATAATTAGAGATTGAGAAATTTGTTCTCTTTTAATTTTCTTAATTCATATATCTTAATTATTAATGTAAATTTTCTGTGCATGACTTCAATATGTTAATGTTTGTTTACATATAAGATAAGATTAGATATTGGTAATGTATTCAAATAAACAACTAAATGTTGATTTTTAACATATGATGAACCTGATATTTTTTTTTATAAATTTATTAAATGGTTTCTGAAATTTTTTTTAACAGAGACGAGAACAACAAAACACATTGCATATGGCTGGTGTACCTGGATTTGATGTCACCGATGATGCTAGTCGTATTCAAGTGCAGATACGTTTATGTGATTTTATAATAAGATTAAGTTTGATTGATAAAAAATCAACTGATATGTAAAAAAAACTGTTTTGAAAAGAATATTATATAATTTGAGCTAAATATTTAAAAATTATTGTACCCTATTGAATAAATTAATTCCAAATTATTTATATAACTAAATGTTATTACGAAAAAAAAAAAAAAATTATAATAATAAACAATTAAAACGATAAATATATCACACTTCAAAAATTCAAAATGTACAAATCAGCTAATTAGTAGTAATAATAAATGGATACCATGTAAATAATATAAAAGTTATAAAATAAAAAGACAAATAATAATAAAAATAATTGATAATATTAATATATAAAAGAGGATTCATTCTTCATGTAAATAATACATGTGAATAAGTGTGGTGTTATGAAATAAAAAGACAAATAATAATAATAATAAAAAAAATTATATGATCATCCTGTCAAAAAAAAAATGTTCGTTCGTTTTTCAAAATGTGTAAAAATACATTAAAATTAATTTTAGAAAATGGATACCAATATATTGTAGAAAATTTGTCTACTTAGAATAAAATATAAAAAATATAAGTTACCAAGGAAAGAAAAAAATATTCATTCAATATTTAAAACTTAATCTTGTAATAGCAAAAATATAGCTGTATCAGAAGATGTTGCTTGAACTACCGTTTTTTGGTCCAATCGGTTGGCTGCATCAATATCAGTTGGTGTGTAATAAATAACATCAGAATCATCTTTTTCTTCAAAACCAATACCCCAAGCCATCAATTTATCTAGAAAATTAAATGAAATCGAAAGTATAAATACATAGATAGATATATAAATATATAAATATATATATATACACATGGGTTAAAGAATTGAAATAATTAATTTTATTACTATTTTCTGTTATTGCAAAAGTATTGTCTGATCCACATGAAATCAGTTTAATTTGTGGTAATGATGATAACACTTTAGGTATTTTTTGAATTTCTGCGATGTCTATCCCCAAGCGACCATCTCTATAGTCACCCATTACATAAACAGCACCTAAACAAAAACCATATCTTTAATAAATAGCATATAATAAAATGTATATACCATAAAAAAAAAATATTTATACATTATGTATGGTAAAGTACAAAGAAATACAATACATTTAAAATATTAGCCCAAAGTTCATACTTAATTGAACAGCTTGAATACAAGATAATTTATTTACCAAACCAATGTTCTTTTTTTTTGATTAATTTACATATCATAGAAAACTAATAAATATATTATAAAATATGTATACAGTTTGCTCTTTAATTAACATAAGCGAGTGAAATATAAAAGTTATACAATTAATAGTTCAGTAAATATTTAATAATCATGTATTATATTTACTTTGTAGCTTATTGGAAATAGCAAATTATTATTATTTATATAATATACAAACCCTGCTCATCCAATAGAGTGACATGTTGAGTTCCAGCTGATATAGACTTAATTTTAAGACGACTTAAAGATTGAGATTTTTGTGGAAAGTACACACATTTATCATCATTTTCAACACCTAATTGACCATTAGCATTCAAACCAAAAGAGTAAATAGTAGAATCCGTTAAACGGATAAATGTAGTGTCGTAATCAGCCCAAATGTTCTCAACTTTTTTCCGAAAATTCAACAGTTGAGGATTTAACAGCAACTCTGCAAGTAGAAATGTTGAACTTAAAATATTTAATAATTTATATTTTTATATATTTTATAATACATACGTTTACCAACACGTGATTCTCGATTAGAATGTCTTTGGCATATTCTACCAAGTTGACCTTCATCTCCACAACCCATGGTATACACTTTGTTTTTAGACAACATGACCAGGTGATTAATACCAGATGCAATTCTACTAACGTTGCTCATGATTAATTTAGGCTTTAGTTGTTTTTCTCCATTTGGATGGAAACCCATATCACCATTTTTATCCTGCATTATAAATGAATAGTTAATATTATGGTGAATGGTTTTAATTAATAATAACTTACTCTAAATGTGCCCCAACTGTACACATTGCCATTACTTAGGAGTACTGCAGAATGTGAACCTCCAGCAGAAATACTATATATTTCAGCATCTTCTTCTGGAATTTCTACAATTCCAGGTCTAGTCTCACTATCTTCAACTGAAGTATCACGGCCCAGTGCACCTTCATCATTGCAACCCCATGACATAAGCTTTAATAATAATGTAGATAATTAATTAAATAGAGAAATTTAAATTGACTATAATTTACTTTTCCATCATCAGTAACACTTAAGACATGCATACTCCCAGCAGCAATAAGTTTGAATTTCAAATTCTTTAGTTCAGTAAGATTTGTAAGTTGTTCACGATCAGGGCCTAAACCGAATAATCCGGCAATCACTATGTCTCGCCCTTTAATCATCACATGACCAGATGTTTCAATTCGATTATCAATGGCTAGAAATATATCAATCAGTAATAATTTGATCATCAAACAAATAATAATTTAGAAATTAATACCTATTTTATCTATTGTTTTTTCAGTCTTTTTTCTCTTAACTTCAGTTGTTTGTACATTCGTAGACTTTCTTTTTGATCCTGTTTTAATAAATAATACGTTTATAACATGATATACTAATGTTTGGAATACATTAATATAAAAATATAATTACTAACTTGTTGAACTAGTAGGTTCAGGGTCACTTTCTAGTTCTTGTTTACGTTTGTTATTAGATTCAGTACTTACAACAGTCTTTTTTAATGTAACACCTATCACGAACATATTTTTTATAAAATCATATTAAAAATCTATATTCAAACAATTTAGATAAGTACTTGAAGGTTGTTTTGCATTTTCTGTTGATTTATTAACTTTTTTAGATTTTACTGCAGCCTGTTTATCATTAGGAATTTTAATTTCTGCATTTTTATTTTGACCCTTTTTTGTATTTTTTTTACTGTTAGTTTCCTTGCTACAAATAAAACACTGTTAAATTATTTAACAATAATCTCTAATAAATAAATTAAAATTAAAATGTAAGTAAATTACCTATTAGTGTTTGAAATATCTGATTCAGAATGTACTTCTACATTAGCAATACCATTTACATCTTTAGGTTCTCTAAAAATAAAAATAAAATACCAATTTACAAAATATATATATTTATACAGATAGATATCAAATATCAATAAAATATATATTGTATAAATTAATTTTATTAATAACAAATTAAAATAAATATATTTGCTATTAAGAAAATCATAATATAGTAATAAACTCAAGTGTAACTATAATAATGTAAGTTAATTAAATTATATACATACTGTGTTACTTCAGATGACTTGGTTAAAGTATCTAACAATTCATTATCAATTTTAAGTTTTATAGATTTCTTGGCTACAGCTTTAGTTGGCCCCTTCTTTTTACCAGCCATTCTTTTAGTTATTTACTAAAAAAAAAAAAAAAATCATGCATTAAAATTAGTAAAATTTATTTATTTATTTTACTATTAAAAAAAAAAAAAAAATAGAAAAAAAGAAACAGTAATCATCATTAATTTATAAACTAAACAAATCAAGTAATAGATTACACGAGCGTCAATCATTTGACTTCAAATTCGAAATTGGTTTAAAGGAAAAAAAATTATCCTCATTATATTCAGAACTTAATATCTAAAATTGTTGTTCTAAATCACCATAGAAAAATCTCAAATACAATGAAGAGAAACAGGATACCAAGAATAAGTATATTTTAGGAACAGTGGTTCAATTAAAATTTTACTGAAAATCAATAAAAAATGTGTTGATATCGAATGGTTAAAAATTCATATTTTCAATGTAACAATCGAACCATCACAATAGTAGCAGCAGTTGAATGACAATAGTCTGCATCATCTGCAAACGTAGATGACCTATTCTAAGAATAATGACTTTAAGGAGCTATATAACCGGACACCGCAGCAAAGAAGGTGGTAGGTAGTTTTCAAAGAAAAAGGACAGTGGAGGAAACTTAACTACAGTGGTATAGCAAGGATATGGCAAACTGTGCCTACGCCAGGGGAGCGAATTGCAAAGGGACGCAAAATTGTGCAAGTTGTATTTTCATCTTGCAGTCGAATCAAAATTTTTCTATTATACTTTTTGAAATAAGTAGATGTCGTTTATTTGTACACAATTTATTTAATGATGAAATTATGAAAATAGCACTAGGGCATTCGAATAATAAATTTCATACGAAGAAATTATCGATGAATTTGGTCGTCATAAAGCGAGAAAGGCGAATTTTCAAAGTTTAAAATTAACACTGTAATAATAAATTATAAATATAAATTGTGTCCATAAAAAAAAATATCGTAACATCAAATTATAACTGGTTAAAAAGCTTTTTATTCTTCCAAGTTGGCCAGGGGCGCTGGCGAGTCTTTCCGCGCCACTGCTTAACTATTGGCTGGCGGGCGAACGGACGAGTTTGCCGCCAAAACGTGGAATTCGGGTGAGCATCAGGTTGGCTCCAGGACCATGCGCCGGTGGCGAAATGGAAAACATTCGCGTTCTCCGCTACCCGAAGGAAAACCGTGCGGACGTGAAGCAGTCCCGCGGACAATCCGTACGGCGTTTCGCGCGCCAGGAAACATCGCGACGACACGAGTTTGTCGCGCGTTCAACGGGACGCGCGCGCGACACGGAGCCAACGGAAAGCACGACAATACTGACGGCGGCACCGCGAATGAATTCCCTCAGAGACCGTTTGGGCCGTCGTCAACCGATTCCGTTGACGAGCTGCACACGACCGTCGTACGGTTGATTGCAATACTTACGGAAATCGTTGGTCGGAACAGCAGGCGATCGCGCGGCGGCAAACGTTCGTTCGGACGGCACAACGAGGTTTTGTCAAGATTCGATTCTTCTAAGTCGGTCCACCGCAGGTGTAGAGCGTACGTGCCCCGTGTACGAGCGTTTCGCGGCAAAGAAAAACGATGGGCAACGCACGGGAACGTTTGACGCGGCGGGGTCGGCGGACCGGTGTTTTTCTCTTTTTTTTTTTTTTTTTTTTTTTTCCGGTGGGGGTTTCGTAACGGAACGGTTACGGGCAACCGTCATCGGCATCAGCTGTTTTGCCGTTATCACACAGCCGTCCGCCCGCGTTATCGTACCGAGTGACACACGTGTTTCCTTTCTCTCGTCGTTTGTGTCCGTAATTTTTTCCGTACGCGGCTTCGTCGCGTGCGTCGAACCTCTGGGCCTCACGTACTTGTTCGGTGACCGGCAACAACGTTAGGTTAGGCTGAACACAAGGCGATTCCGTTCTTCCCAGGGAGCGACTTGGGGCTTACTCAACCGTCGTTGTCAAACTTACAATCGAAATGACCGGATCCATAAAGGACGTGTCCAAGATGAACGTGCACGTTCCCAAACGCAAGCGCCCGTCCGACGTTGAGTCGCCTAGTCGGTCTAAACCGAAGAAATTCAAATCCAATATGTCCGATGTGTCTTCCAACTTGTCGCCGAGTTTGGCGTACGGCGTCCATGAGGAACCGTCCGACGAATTCAGCTGCGACGAAGATATGATGTCTACCACAGAAAGTATAACCCCTATAAAAGTAAGCGTTATATACTTTTATTATGCCTTAAGCTACTATGGTAGTCAACAATTGGTTTTATTGTCATAATTTAAAGGTTAGACTTCAATCGTTTCTAGATAAATTATTTATTATATTTTACAAATTATCAATTTTTGTGTAAAGAATCTATTTTACGGTTTTATGTATTAAATTGATTTTAATATTATTAAATTATTATTACTATCAATTATTGAATGCCTATTTTTTCTGTTTAAAGGTTATAGAATTAGATGCATCTCAATTGAACAGAAATGAAGGCGTATTATTTTCTGAAGATCTAATAGATGAATATGAAGTTTGGACATTGCAGTGTCCTCATGACGTAAGTATATGATCAAGTACATAGTATAGTTATTTTATTTCTTATCATAGACAAGACCAGCCAGTTAATCAAACCAGTTTAGCAGGTAAAATAACATATTTAGGGTTGGTGATAATTAGAGCTCAGATTTTAATACGTTCAAAATACCTTAAAATGCCTCAGAAAATATCGAATTAATGATGTAAAAAATGTATTAAAATGTGAAAAATGACTACCTAAAGTGCACTAACATTTTTTTATTTTATTTACCTAATCAATGCTTTCCACACACATAGTCCATTTTATTGTTATTGTTATCAACTATTATACCATAATTTAATGACATAACGATAACATAAGACGATAAAATGTAATTATAATTTGATTAAAGAAAAATATTGAATACTTGAAATTTTTTTAATTCTTTCCAAAAATGCATTAAAGAAGTAAATATGACAAAAAATGCAAAAGAATACAAAATAAAAATTGAATTATATGAATCTATACCATTTGAAACATATTTTTGTTAAACTGAAAAAAAATGCATTTTGCATTGAAATCTGTGCCCTAGTGACAACTGATAATGTAAATATATTTAAAAAAATTGATTTTGTATACATATTTATGTATATTAAGAATATAGTTGGTAAAGTACGATTAAACGGTTATTAACCTAAGTTATACAGTTTTTCTTTTTATTTTGTTATTTTCAGAATAATATCTAATAAAATAAAATGTTTACCACATAATACATTTTGAGAGTATGTTAGAAATAAAGGTATATTTTGTAGCAGATAAAATTTTTAAAGTATTTTATTAATTTTTTTTTGTGGATAAATCCATTCGCTATCAAGGATGTTTCCAAAGTGGGATACATGAAGTATAGATCTTTCCTTTACATTTTTGCTTATCCATCTTTGAAAAGTAATCTTTTACATTTTAAATGTAAATACAATATTCTTAATTTGAAAAGTAATTGAAAATAAAAGTTTTCTTTGTCTCAAATTTAAGAAAATTGAATTAAAAATTATTTTAGTAAAGGTTCTTATTTTAGTCGGACAAAATTATCATTTTTTTGACGTTCCCCAAAATAAAATTATGCCTAAAGGCCTGTTTTCTACTCTTTACCAATAAATTGATTGTTTTATAAATCATTCATACATAATTATCAATGTGTTGTAATAATATATTTTTAAGACAGATTATTTTTTTGTAATTATTTGCATTTAATAACTATCATTTGTTTTCACAGGTAGATATAAATGAATTACACCAAAAATCAATAAATTTCAATGACGTTAAAAAATTAAACATTATTAACTCTTTATCTAATAAAATTGATATGATACCATATAGAAGTCAAGAAGATACAAACATCACAATAATAACTCCCAGTGAAAACACAAGCAATTTATCATTAAGTAAACTATCAATTTTTAGAATCAATCCATATGGTTAACTATCTGTTGTTAAGTTATTATTTTTAAACGATGATATTGTTTTATTTTTTAGATGTGGTCCCTTTAGCTGGAACATTAATTATTTCTAATCGCGTTAGTAAGGAAAAACCTGCAATTCAGAAGTTAATTCCTGTTGACACAATTGAAGATGCTACCAGACGTAGATCCGAATTGATGTCAAGAATAACTCAAAGATTATCAAATAAATATGATACTCAAATAAATAAAGATATTAAAATTGAAATACAATCACCCAAAATAGTTAAAAAAAGTAAAAAACATAAGTTGACTAATTAATTTTTTACCTTGATACCTATGATTATCAAATTATAACTAATTATTATTATAAATAAAATGGTTAATTTTGTTAAAAATATTGTTTTTATTTTTACTTAAATTTTTATGGTATTCAAATTTTGAGAATATGATCCTTTATTTCTTAAACATTAATAAAAATTTAGTCAGTCTGCATCAGTGGCACGTTCTACCATTGTAAACTATTATATTCTCTATTATTGTACTATTTCACAATAAGAATCAATTTAATTTTAGATGGTTTGGGAATTTTTTATTCACAATGTTAACTATAATACCTTCAAACAACATAATATTATTGAAAACTGTCCTGATTTCTAAGTATATCTTTCAGTGTAGTACTACATACATAGGAATGTGAATACTCATGTGCTATTAAACAATGTGTCTGATGCAGTGTTTATGTTATAAATTAAATAAAGTATTATTATATATGTAAATAATATAAGATAAACTAATTCAATATATTTGTACTTACAATAATACTTCAGGCAAAAACTTTATTATTTTAAACAAATTATTTATGTATTAAACAATATCATATTTTCTTATGGATGTAACCTCAAAACAATTTTATTTGTTGTATATAAATAATAGTATTACAGTAAATTAATATATTTTACTATTAACTGAAAACGTTCAACTTGATAATATACACCAATATACAACAATATTAAGTTCTTTCGCATATATTCCAATAACTAAGCTTGACGTTGAACTATCATTTTCAGTCTATATGTTATTCAATGTTACAACTATGCAAAGAACAAAATGCATAATATGGTTTTTCATTTTAATAATTAATATAATTTAAAAAACACAGTTAGTTGTCCAGAAATTTTACTCAAAATGTTCTATTGTGTTCATTAAGTAAATACTTAATTATAAGTCGTTTACATTGTTTAAACTTCTTTTAATACCTCATATATATAAAAGCTACCCAATAATAGTAATTATCAAATAAAAATTGTGTATTATTTTTCTATACATACCAGTTTACTTTTTTTTATGTCTATTTGTTGCATGTTTTCACAATTTTAATTGTATATTATATGGTATATTTTAATATTTTACCATGTGTTTAAGTCTGTGCATTACTCATTATTTAAGTTTAAAAATAATTTAATTTAATTTTAGGAGTAATGACTAATTTATCATATAGGCTTCATTACTATTTCTGTACTCTTATCTTCTCTAGTTATTGAGTCTCATCTATAAGTATTATTACTACTTAACCACTCCTGTCCTCCATCTCCACGTGGTACTTTTTCCCATCTCTCGTATATCTCACACCCTCTAAGTATATAGATACATACATGTCTACTTCATTGCTTTATAACTACACATTTTACAATTATAATATTATTTAAAATGTGTGACATTTATTAAATATTAATTGGTCACTGTGTTTTATAAAATATGTTAAATCTTAAAGTATGTTTGAAATAATGTTAATATGAATACATGTTGTATAACACTATTGTATATTCTATGTAGTGTACGTGGCTTTCACTTATAATTCGGATATATTCTAGGAGATATATTATGAAGAAGATTTTCGTCATCAACTGTTATGGAATTGCATTTAATATTTCAAGTTGTTTCAATTTATTACATCTCTTATAGTTAATATTTATATAATTATTCCACGCTCATGAAATAGTAAAAATATTTGAACATATAATACCAAAATGTGTAAATATACACATTGATGTTCAATGACAAGTTTTGTGACATTTTGCCAACATTTTCCACGTGACCATAAAAGTAAATCTGTGATTCAATTTATATTATTTTACAAGTTGATAGTTGGAATATTAAGTGCGAAATAATAAGATCCAAGCAATATTAAATTATTCTGTAGAGTTGATTAAAAATATGATTAAGTTTGTCAAGCTTACTTACATTTACTGCGTCGTTAAATAATTATTGAACTAACACAGCTTGAGCCAGTTTCTGATTCAGTGCCATAAATGCATGTTAATTTTACACACATGGTGACAGTATACCCGCAGTAGCCTAATCATAAATGGGCATATTGGATGGGAGCCCCAACGGTTATGTTAAAAAAAAAAAATGAATACCTAGCTATAAAAATTAAATTTTGTTAACAAGTTTTTATTAATTAACTTAGAAATCATGACCAACCCACTGTCAGTTGTACACACAGTGATCAACATTCTCGACGAAAGTTATAAAATCTCGTGAAAAATCGATTTTGTTCTTTATCTTGTTGTCGAAATTAAAATTAATAATAATAGATCTACAGCGTCGCTAATTCATTAAAATCGTGATGTCCGCTTGGGCACGTGCAGTGGCGTAAACTGAGTGATGCAAATGTGGCAGTTGCATCGCCACATCTAAAATGTGGTGATGCAAAGATATGTTTTTGTACCACCAGAAAATCATTGAAATTTGTATACCTCTAATATTATTTTCAAAAGCCAAGGAAATCAGCATACTATAAACAAAATTTAATTGTTTTTTTTTTTATTAATATTATAATAATAAAGGTTTTAATGTTAAAATTAATTCAAAATTTGTTTGTTATTTAAAGAAATATTTGGGAAAATATATAGCTTATTGGGAAGAATTTTACTTAGGAAATTGGAAAATTGGTGTGTTGGAAATTATAAGTTGAGAATATGCCTCTGCACCACCAGAAATTGGATTCAATTTACGCCACTGGGCACGTGTGTATCAGTCTGCAGCGTTGATGTGGTCATTTTCGTACAACCACGAACGTCACAGTATCTTTTTTATTTATAATTTAAAGGTTTCAGCATATACTAAGCCATTGTGCATACACAGCGAAGGACGAGGATATAGGTGTACCAATGTATAAATGTACATACCTACGTTATATATATATATATATATATATATATATATATATATATATATATATAGAAACGTATTTCACATTAGGTCTGAATTGCGAAATAAAAATTATACTGCAGTACAAGACACATGTACTTATATTATCACATGTGCTATTTTAATCTACACAAGAAGTCCAATTTTCCCGTTCGTTATTATTAAACTGTTAAGCATTTCTTATTCGTTCCTATCGATTGGTGTACACCAAGTGGGTACTTCCTTTCATTTATTAAATATTATAGTGTTTTTATTTTCCTACACAAGTGTTCCATCTCCAAATTCTCGGCCTTTAATGGTATTTGGATATTTACATTGAGAATCGGCCGGAAATTTTTCAATCTTTAATCACGTCTCAAAAATATTGATAAAATATTATAAGTTTGTCTCCGATTACAGATTTTGGTTCATTGAAAATATTTTTGTAGTTAAATAATTACTGCAGGTTCCCAAGTACAATTCGAAATGATAATAAATAAAAAATGATAAGATGGCACATAATTATATTTTACAATAACAAATAGTTATGTTGTCGGGTGATTTACACAATACATAAGCTACATATTAATATTTATACTATAAAGATTGTGATTATTATTAATGTTGTAATACTACTGATATTAACGTTAATGGTACTAATTATTATTATTATTGAATATTGCACATACAAATTATTAATTAAACATTAATTATTCAACACGACAACAAATAATTATTATTCAGAACTGCAGTCACATTATTTTTCTTTTTTATAATAAAAACGGTTGCTCTATGACGTATAGAAAACGAGACAATTATTTAGGTATAATGCTATAATGTATACTGACATTTGTTATGATGTTATAATAGGAGATTTTATATATTTTTATCGTACGTAATATTATACCGTCCATCTAGATAAATGTCTGTAGACTGTATTTACATGTTTCTTAAAAAAAAAAAATATCCTTTAAAATTTGATTTTCCATTTGCTAAATTATGGTTATAAATGAACTAATGGCTGAAATATCTTAAAATAATTTTTGACTTTAATCTTAATGGTATTTATAATTTTCACGTTGATGCAGTTACAAAATTCATATAATTGTAAGTATGCTAAACTCGAGTTCCTTCTCAACGTTCCATTTATTAACATGTATGAGTACGACGAATCGAGATTTTTCTTTTATTTTAGGTACTTTTAATGAGAGTTCTCAAACGGGATCTACGGTTTAATGCATGGTTTAATCAATTTGGTTTTCTAATCACATATTATTTCATAATTTTCATTGATTTATTTTGTATAATGCTTGCACGATTGACACGTCTATAGGATTTTTCATTAACGATAATATGACAGTGATTGAAGGTTTACCTATATTTAATATTATTTTGTAAAAGGTCGATGTACAAAATAAATCTATATGTTCTTAAATAATATAATTTAATGTCATGCATATATTTAAATTAATTGTATTGAATCAGCCAATGAACGGTTGTTTTATTTCTTATCTCGGTTCTACAATAATAATTATGGTACATATAACGTTTTAAATTTAAAAAATAAAAATATCTATAATCCTTTGGTAACTCTTTATTCTGTTTTATACAATTTTGTCAATTTATTTGATGCACAACATTTATATACAGTTTACCATTAATCGGTATATTCAAATTATGTTTTAAATATTAAAATAGTTAAATACAATCTTTATATGGCAATATGTAGTAAACATTAATCAACTGTTTTGTTTAATTACATAACTAGATCGATTTTTTTCGTTAAGTGATAAAAGTATTATTTTGTTGTTTTTTTTTCAATATTATTCAATTTTCAGTTGTAATTTGATTTACTGTTACTAATAGTGTTAAACAAAAACCGTTCCTTCACTATGACTCAAATATGTACCTAGTTATTTTGTATTAACAAAGAATTAACCACTCTTTTCAAATTCCTCAAAATATATGACAATTTTATTTTACGGAGCATTTGAATATGTATAATAATCTTAAAAACTACCTAGTTTATATTTTTAATGATAATATATGCTATAAGCAAGTTCATTAATTTTTATGTTGTTAAATGTTAGCCACCAAAATATTAT